AAATTCAAATTTGTAATAATTTAAATTTTTTTAATTTAATTAATTTCAGCTTTAAATTTATAATAATGTTCAATTTAGAAAACAAATACTGCTACTTATGTAGATAGATTTGTAATTTTACAATAAAAGAATAAATATTTGATAATGCTTCAATAAATTACTACTTGCTAAATATTTAAATTTCTCTTTTTAATTTAAACTTATTTTTTTTTGAGGCGAGTGATGAGAGATAAGTTGTGGTCATCAAATAAAACAGTGAAAACTAATGCACTTACTCGATTTATTGATCCATGTAATAAATCATGGAAAAATCGATTGAAAATGATCAAAGAAATTCCTGAAGCTAAAATACTGCATGGAAATAAATGGCCTCAAAGAGGAAGCCAGGTTAACTCTGTTATTTTATTTAATTTTTTTTAAAAAAAAAACATTCATGAAATGGATGCATATATATATATATATATATTTACAATTCAAAACATTCAAATCGTAAAATCATTATTCACGTTTTTTACGTATGTTTTCACGCACTAAAAATAATATCATACATTCAGGAATATTAAAAAGCAAATTTTGTAAGAATTTGAACTAATTTCATATTATCAGATCAAGTTTGACTCCTTATTTTTAATATTTTGATCACTATAGATCTTTTTTTTTTTTTTTTTTTTATTTAGATCACTATAAATTAAATAGTCTAAAATTGCTTGTACTGTAATATTTTTAACTTCTTTTTTATTTTTTAGAAGTAAAAAGTCTTTAAAATTTAGCGTCATCTCTTTAAAATTATCAATATTATCAATTTAAAATTACTAATAATCGTTACGAATGATTAATAAAGTGTTATGTTCGAAAGTATATCGAATATTTATTTTCTCAATTAGATTTATCAAAAATCATGAGAGTAAGTGAAGTAAGTTTTATTTAAAAAAAAAATCATTTCGTTTCATATTACCATAATTTTATAATTGCTAAAAATATCGATAAACATATTGCTAGCAAGAATGTAACTGGATAATACTTTTTTATTTTGTAATAAAATATTAATACATAAATGCAATATTTAAAAACAAAACCAAAACAACAAAAATTAATAAACAGAAGATTTATTGTAATATTTAAATTAGTCAAACAAATGATAAAATGAATGCTAAATTTTTTTGCTACTTTTAGTAATTTATTTTCACTTTATCTTTAATGCTTAATTTTAGCTCCTTAATTTAATCTTATTATTTTTCTAACTCCTAATTTTAGGTAATGGAAGAATTAGAAGCATGTCGAGAGCAACTTCATTCTATTCGAAATGACACCTGTCCTTCGCCATATCGTTGTATGTCCAAAATTACCTCCGTTAAAACAAATGAATGGATCATTGCACAACAAAGTTGGACTGTCTTATAACATATATATAAATAATAATAATAAGAATATATAAGATAATAGCAAAATTACGGGTATTCAATTTATATATTTAATTATATATGTAAATTATATACGTAATTATATGTACATATCATATAAGATTTTTTTTTTTTTATCGTGTTACTACCTCTAATAGTTTGCTTGAAATGATTTTTTGTTTTTCTGATAGTATTATACATTCATATACACTTTTGTCTTTTTTCTTTTTTAAAATTTCGGTTAGATATAATGATTTTACAAAATTTTAATTATTACTTTATGGTTTCTGACAGTTTGTTGTTATTATAACATATCATATCTGTAATTTTAGAGAATGAAATGAAAATGGTTCTCTTTCTTTTTAGCAGAATTACTTGTCATAGCTTCACAAGTTAGTTAAATTTCTTACTACCTGAAAATCAATTTGAATACTTTACATTCATCATTAAATCTTTCATGAGATAACTGTGATATAACTCATTTTGCAAGTCAAGAATTTAATCTTAATAGATATATCACAAAAAAAAAAAACCTCATCTTTCAATTTCTTATCAATCATTTACTTTTATTTGTTTATATATACTGATTCTTATCATCTGTTCTTATGTAAAACAGATGATAAGAATTGATTTGCTATTGCTCTTTACAATCACCTTTTTATGCAATCAATACAGTGTAATTATTATTATTATTATATTAGTTTGAGAAATGATTTTGCACAAATCTATTGCTAAAAATAATTTTAAATTTCATTTTTAGAAGTGAATAATCTTGATGATCTAAAGATACTCAAAATTGAACTATATTAGTGATAGAATTATTTAGGAATTCCTTTGCATGATCTATAAGATATCTGAACATTCCATAATATTTCAGTATAATTCATGTATAATATTATAAAAAATTATTATTAGAGTTCAAGTTAAACAGATAATATTCTGATCTGTGGAACTAAATGATCCAGTCAGTAATATTCGACCTAAATGGTGCACTAGATCATTTTCGAGAATATCACATATGGCTATAGCCAATATAATTAGTTATACAACAGCAGATTATAGAGATTTCAAAAAAAAAAAAAAAAATCGATAATTTGAATAATTTTATGGGAATGAAAGTGCTGAGCGCTTTTTGATACATAGCTTTGATTACATGATTTTATGATATACTTGTAATCTAAACGGTTCATTAAAAACTTTACTGATAAAGTTGCATTTGGAAAAGTTTCCTTATCATGTAATTTTTAAATTGTTTTGCTCAAAAGTGATTTCTTGGAAATCGAAAAAGTTAATGTATGAAAGCTATATTGGAAGATGCATATGAAAAAGTAATTTCCTCAAGAATGAAATAGCTGATTAATGCATTCATTTCATTTCAAAACTGCAAAATCTAATTTATTCTTTCTAGACATTAGCTATACGCCTACACGCTTTGGCTAATAAGTTAAATTTGCATAAAAGTAAAAAAAAAAAATCAAGATTAAAAATCATTTAGACCATATGAATTCAATAGTGATTATATTATGAACACTTTCATCTGTTTCGTCCACTCGAAACGATAAATTGAAACTTTGTAGTAGTTACAAAATCAAATTAAAGCTAAAATTAACATTCCTCAAGTTTTGTCTACTTAAATCTCGAGTTTCAATAGAAATGGTTGCTGTTGAATTTTCCAGACTGTTCGTTACTCATCACTCCATGTACAGTAATTATGAATTTTCGGTAGTAGTAATTTAATTTTGCATAATACAAAAAATAATATGATATAATACAGTAGGTATTATATCATATTATAACTAACATCTAGTAAAAGTATAGTTTTAAATATATCAATATTATGTGTTATAGTAATATCAGTGATATCATAATTGGATAATGATAACAGCTGATAAAATTGGCATAGAAAATGCTGATATGTCTATACTTTGTGAACAGTGTGAAAAAAATGAAAATTGAAATTTAGAGGTAGATATTTACAAACAAAATGAAGCATCACATGACCTTTGCTTGTTTTTTTTTGTTCTTATTTTTAATTTTTTTTTTTCTAAAAAAAAAAAAAAAAAAAAAATCAAATCAAATAAAACAATATATGAAAATACGGTGATCATGTTATTTTTTAATTAATCAATTTGATGAAAAAAGAGCATAGCGATATTGAATAATGGCAATATAATCGATTGATTAGATTTGTCGTGAAAGGTTTGCCTGGTTGATATTCGAATAATTGCAATACAGTAGGAAGATTAATAAACTTTTATTTTCCGAAAATGTATTATTAATAAACTGAGCAATAAAAAAGAGAATTTATAATAAAAATAAGACCGGAGGAATTGAGTTTGGTTGACAAAGGAGTAGTCGACAACAATGACAATGATCACCCCTCTTTGTTTATTAGAATTGAATTTATATGAGTGAGGATTGGGTGTGTCTAAGATAAAATCACATGTGTAAAGAATTTAAAGTGTTTACAAAGAAGATATTAAAATGAAAGCTAATTTCAATTTTACATAAAAATCATACGTGTGAAGAATTGGAAGTGTTTACAACGAAGAGATTAAAATGAAAGCTAATTTCAATTTTACAGAAAAAATTACATGCATGAAGAATTGGATGTGTTTACAAAAAGGAGATTAAAATTACATGTGTGAATTGTTTACAATTTAAAAAAAGGAGAGATGATTTATGATACTTTGAAATTGGTTAGAAGTTTTCGCGAAATAATTATTCGCGACACTCCCAAAGGGGGAGAGAAATTGTTTTAAGATGTAATTTTGAAAGAGTGATTTTGAGGTATATAGCTAAATGTACGGAGTTTAATAGGTGGGATTTCTTCTTTAGTTAAGAATTGAGTGTGTGGTGATTCTGTAGGGAGAGTAATGATGGTAGTTTGATTTGAATTTCGTTTTGAAGTATTACAAAGAAGAGATTGAACTAATTTAAATTTACACTTAATAATAACTAAAATAGTTAATATTGTCACGATAATTATACTGATAAAAATCAATTTCCAATGTGTTATCACGTTTTCAAATTCTTCTTCTATCGGTAAAACAATTTCATTGAACTCCTTTTCCATTTGTTTGATAATTTCTTCTCCTTCTTCAGAGATTTCTTGCCAAAAGAGTTCATCCTTTATTTGATGTGGTATTGAATTAATTGTTTTTTGAGTTTGAGCTAAGATTTCCAATTCTGCATTAATTCTCTCAATTTCAAACTTACTTATTAAATCTCCTTTGAATTCGATATTTTCGATTGTTGATTGTTCTGATTTGCAAGGAGCCACCATCAAATTTCCGTTAACTCTTTTAGCTATCACATCATTTCTTTGAAGTATTAGTTTCGTGGCAAGGGTAGGATTGCTGATTGATAGCCATTTGATCAAAAGCAATAAGTTATTTCTGTTTTGGCAACTTCTCTGCTGTGTTTCTTTGAGTTGTTGAAGGAATTCTTGTCTTAGTGAATCAGAAAGGTATTGAAGTTTTACGTTTTCAGGATCGTACTTTCTATCCGGAGACTTTTCCATCATTAATAGTTTGTTTGTTACTCTTCGTTTGAATTTTGTAGTAGAGTTCGAGTCATCTTCAACGTCTAGTTCAATAACTATATCGCCCTGCATTAAAATTGGAGAGATGAATTTACAATTTTTGGTGTTTAATATAGGGGGATTTTTATCAATTATAAGCGATGCTTGTATCTCATCGATGATGAAGTGGTTGTTATACTTTGTAGCCTTGAATCTTCCGATCTTTCGATATAAACAATGATTGGTCGTATCATTGCTATTCCATATGATAATGCTAGTATTCGTTATGCATTCACCCTTTTGTGTCAAACAGTCTTTTATATCTTCAAGGTTAGAGACTAACCCTCTTCCATCGTAGATGAGAATTTCTCCTTGAGTTAATATGAAGTTTGAAGTTGATTGACAGTTAACTCCTAACCATCCATAGGAGTATTGTATTTCCTTATTCGTTATCCATTGATTAGGAGAAGATTGAATCAGTCCAATTCCGTTCATTTGTTTTCGAATATTTAAATATCTGCAGAATTGTGAAGAAGTTGCGGTAGTAGACGTATGGTCTGACACTACCGATAGCGATATTCTGAGAAAGGCTTTCGTGCATACAGTCCGTGTAATGTTGCTGCATTTTATAGCTGGTATTCTTACATGGGTGCGTGTGTACACATCCACTTTGTGATATGTAGCATTTTTGTGAATAATTTCTTCACAATTCCATTTTTCAGGAATATTAAAGGGTACTCCAGTAATCCAATTACAGCTATTGTTAGCTAATACCTGTCTTGGTATTAATGACATCATCGTTATTAATGATAAAGTTTTTATCAAAAGATTAGACCAGTCCTTAGCGTAGATTGTAGTTTGTGATTTTTTAGCACTTCTGGTTCGTCGAGCAATGGGTTCTTCTGGTTCATCTTCCACTTTTTCTTCTTTATCTTCAGTAGCATCTATTTCCATAGGATAAAGCATATTTATTGATCGATCGATTTGTTTTCCATTCGGTAATTGTATTGTTGCACTCCTTATTTTTCCATCCCATCCTCGATTAATTTTTATTATCCTTGCCAATTTCCATACACCACGAGGTATTTCTGGTTCATTTAATAATACTATCTCATTTTCATGTGGTACTCTTTTTTCTATTATTCTAGGTGATTTTAATTCTCTTTGTGTGCGTTCTCTAAGACTTGTAAAATATTCTTCTTTCCACAACTTCCAAAAGACATCTAATGTGTTAAGAGTGGTAGTCCAATACTTGACTAATTTATCTTTAGTCTTTATTGTATAAGGGGTATATTCATCTTGGTCACTATCATAATTTATTGGTAGATCTAATGAAGCCATAGGTGATATAAAATCAATTGGACGAATGATTCTGTAGTCGTCAAACCCTACATAAGTTAATGGACGGGTATTAAGGATTCCTTCTATTTCAACTATTAATGTTATTAATTCTCCTTCCTTTAGAAGTTTTCTTCCTATTGCTCTTCTTAATGCCCTTTTTGTGAGTCCTATAAGTCTTTCATATACACCACCCCCCCATGGTGCTCTTGGTATAGTATTTTTCCATATCATACCCTTTGTAGCCAAAAAGTTAGCGTTTTCTTCCATAATGATTTTGAATACCAGTTGAAATTGGCTTGCATTATCGCTTAATATTAATTTTGGATATCCATGTCGCGAATAATTATTTCGCGAAAACTTCTAACCAATTTCAAAGTATCATAAATCATCTCTCCTTTTTTAAAATTGTAAACAATTCACACATGTAATTTTAATCTCCTTTTTGTAAACACATCCAATTCTTCATGCATGTAATTTTTTCTGTAAAATTGAAATTAGCTTTCATTTTAATCTCTTCGTTGTAAACACTTCCAATTCTTCACACGTATGATTTTTATGTAAAATTGAAATTAGCTTTCATTTTAATATCTTCTTTGTAAACACTTTAAATTCTTTACACATGTGATTTTATCTTAGACACACCCAATCCTCACTCATATAAATTCAATTCTAATAAACAAAGAGGGGTGATCATTGTCATTGTTGTCGACTACTCCTTTGTCAACCAACCTCAATTCCTCCTTTCTTCTTTTTTATTTTAAATTCTCTTTTTTATTGCTCAGTTTATTAATAATACATTTTCGGAAAATAAAGGTTTATTAATCTTCCTACTGTATTGCAATTATTCGAATATCAACCAGGCAAACCTTTCACGACAAATATTTATTGGTGCCACGAGCCGGGAACATGTCAAGCCACATTATCGCAAGCTTTCAACCGGCAAAGGAAAGGTTAGTCAGCCTTCTTAAAGAAGTAAATCAACTGGAGATCAAATCTCCAGATCCAAGTATGACAATAGAAGAAAAGGAAGATTTTTATGTGATAAGAAAAAGAGTATTAGAAGATAAACTTCGAAGAATCCAATTATGCGTAACTACGCTTGAATCTATCAACGATAAATGGTTCACATATACTCAACAAATCGTCACGATGAAAAGAAGAGAAGAAGAGGAAGAAAAATACAAAACAGTAACAGAAGGTGACCAAGGAATATTTCAATTATTACACGAAGGAAAGGAAGCTGTAATAACACTGACAATGCACAAGGATGAAGTCGACCAAAACTTAAAACAACTCTCAAAGGAGTTGACGAACAAACAAACAAAAGAAGAAGCAAAATTTACTCTTTCTTCAAATACTAATGTAAATCTTCCTCATTTATCGCTCCCTACTTTCGATGGAGACCCTAGACAATGGCGACAATTTTGGAGCAGTTTTAACGCAGCAGTTCACACACAAGCGATTCCAGAAATACAAAAATTGAATTACTTGTACTCATGTCTTAAAGGAAAGGCTCTACAAGCAATATCTGGATATGATATAGCTCCAGAGAATTATGAAGTCATCAGAAAACTGCTCAATGAAAAATATGGCGATCACTCAATAGTAACAACATTACTATACAACGAACTCCAATCAATTAAACGAAATGAAAGAGAATGGATTGGAACAATTGAAAATATAGAACGAGTACTACGCCAGTTAGAAGCTCTAGGAGAAAGCCTCGAACATTCAAATATTGAAATCTTGATCGAGAGCAAGTTGCCATTATGGATATTAAATAAAATATATAAACACAAGAAGAAAGACATGCCTTGGTCAATTCTCAAACTAAGAAACTTTTTAACAAGTTTAGTTAATGTGAATGAACAGATTAGAAACTGTCAACATTCACTCACTCAACTCAATATTAAATCTACAATTACCAAACCGGAACAAAAACAACGATACAATCCCGGAGGAACTTCAGCATTGTCGACAATAAAAGATAATCAAAATACTTCGAAAACAAATGAACGGAATTGGACTGATTCAATCTTCTCCTAATCAATGGATAACGAATAAGGAAATACAATACTCCTATGGATGGTTAGGAGTTAACTGTCAATCAACTTCAAACTTCATATTAACTCAAGGAGAAATTCTCATCTACGATGGAAGAGGGTTAGTCTCTAACCTTGAAGATATAAAAGACTGTTTGACACAAAAGGGTGAATGCATAACGAATACTAGCATTATCATATGGAATAGCAATGATACGACCAATCATTGTTTATATCGAAAGATCGGAAGATTCAAGGCTACAAAGTATAACAACCACTTCATCATCGATGAGATACAAGCATCGCTTATAATTGATAAAAATCCCCCTATATTAAACACCAAAAATTGTAAATTCATCTCTCCAATTTTAATGCAGGGCGATATAGTTATTGAACTAGACGTTGAAGATGACTCGAACTCTACTACAAAATTCAAACGAAGAGTAACAAACAAACTATTAATGATGGAAAAGTCTCCGGATAGAAAGTACGATCCTGAAAACGTAAAACTTCAATACCTTTCTGATTCACTAAGACAAGAATTCCTTCAACAACTCAAAGAAACACAGCAGAGAAGTTGCCAAAACAGAAATAACTTATTGCTTTTGATCAAATGGCTATCAATCAGCAATCCTACCCTTGCCACGAAACTAATACTTCAAAGAAATGATGTGATAGCTAAAAGAGTTAACGGAAATTTGATGGTGGCTCCTTGCAAATCAGAACAATCAACAATCGAAAATATCGAATTCAAAGGAGATTTAATAAGTAAGTTTGAAATTGAGAGAATTAATGCAGAATTGGAAATCTTAGCTCAAACTCAAAAAACAATTAATTCAATACCACATCAAATAAAGGATGAACTCTTTTGGCAAGAAATCTCTGAAGAAGGAGAAGAAATTATCAAACAAATGGAAAAGGAGTTCAATGAAATTGTTTTACCGATAGAAGAAGAATTTGAAAACGTGATAACACATTGGAAATTGATTTTTATCAGTATAATTATCGTGACAATATTAACTATTTTAGTTATTATTAAGTGTAAATTTAAATTAGTTCAATCTCTTCTTTGTAATACTTCAAAACGAAATTCAAATCAAACTACCATCATTACTCTCCCTACAGAATCACCACACACTCAATTCTTAACTAAAGAAGAAATCCCACCTATTAAACTCCGTACATTTAGCTATATACCTCAAAATCACTCTTTCAAAATTACATCTTAAAACAATTTCTCTCCCCCTTTGGGAGTGTCGCGAATAATTATTTCGCGAAAACTTCTAACCAATTTCAAAGTATCATAAATCATCTCTCCTTTTTTTAAATTGTAAACAATTCACACATGTAATTTTAATCTCCTTTTTGTAAACACATCCAATTCTTCATGCATGTAATTTTTTCTGTAAAATTGAAATTAGCTTTCATTTTAATCTCTTCGTTGTAAACACTTCCAATTCTTCACACGTATGATTTTTATGTAAAATTGAAATTAGCTTTCATTTTAATATCTTCTTTGTAAACACTTTAAATTCTTTACACATGTGATTTTATCTTAGACACACCCAATCCTCACTCATATAAATTCAATTCTAATAAACAAAGAGGGGTGATCATTGTCATTGTTGTCGACTACTCCTTTGTCAACCAACCTCAATTCCTCCTTTCTTCTTTTTTATTTTAAATTCTCTTTTTTATTGCTCAGTTTATTAATAATACATTTTCGGAAAATAAAGGTTTATTAATCTTCCTACTGTATTGCAATTATTCGAATATCAACCAGGCGAACCTTTCACGACAATCCACGTCGAGCGATAAATCTTCTTAAAACATGCGAAAAATTCTCGGCAGATAAATTCTCCGCCATTTCAAGATGAACTGCTCTGGTAGTGAAGCACGTAAAAAGTGCTATCCATCTTTTGACTAGACCAGTATTAGATTTGACTGAAAGAGGACCCATATAATCAAGGCCGACTTGTTCGAAGGTCCTGGATCGTTTTACTCGTGTTTCTGGTAAACTTGGCATCGCTGGCAGTTTAAACGGTTTAGCTTTCCAGCGAATGCAATAACAGCATAGGTTTATAATTCGTTTTACAGCAGCTCTTCCTCTCGGTATCCAATATTTTCGTCTTAATTCAGATAACGTATGTGCAATACCTGCGTGATATAATTCATTATGCTTGTGTAGAATAATAAGGTCAGTAGTATAATTATGATCCGGTAAATATATAGGATATTTGCTTTCGTCCATTAATTCTGAATTTTCCAGTCGGCTCCTTAATTTCCATAAGTTATCACTTTCATCTAGATATAGATTCCATTTTTCCTTTTCGTCCTCCGTTAGCAATCGCGATTGGGCCTGTCTGATCAGCATAGTCTCTGCTATATCGTAATCAACTTTAGTCATATATTTATTTTTTACGGATAATGGTTCTAGCCACACTAATTTCCTTTTGCAGGTTTGTTTAATAAATCTAAAAGTCCAAACAGTTACTCGAACTAGTTTTGTCCAACTGCTGAAGCGACATACGTCAATAAATTCAATTGTATTCCTTATAAAAGTTTGAGTCATCTTTGACAAATTCAAAGCAATTGCTTCTGCAAATTCATCGTTTCCTGAATAGCGAAGTTTGCACTTTGGCCATTCAGATTTCTTGAGTTCCAACCATCGAGGTCCTTTCCACCATTGTTTACAATTTTGGAGTTTAAGTGGTGATACTCCTTTGGTGGCTATATCTGCTGGATTTTGATCACTTGGTATGTAATTTAATTCGAAGTTAGATTTCCTTATTTCTTCGATGCGATTTTGTATAAATCTGGGAAGCAGCTTTGTATAATTCTGTATCCAGTAAAGAACACATTTTGAATCCGTCCACAAAGTAACTTGATTATTTTCAAGATTTAATTGTTTCAATACGAACTGAGCTGCTCTTACTCCAATTAGTACAGATAATAATTCAAGTCTAGGAATTGACATACCTTTAATTGGAGCAATTCGAGATTTAGCATAAATCAAAAATGAATTCGAATATTTGTCTTGATATCCATGATTGAGAATATAAATAGCTGCAGAATAGGCAACTTTCGAAGCGTCAGTAAATATATGGAATTCTGTTAATTGTGAAGTTTCCATTATAAATCTTGGCAGCTCTATTATATTTGTTGGCCATTCTTTGATGAGATTTATCCACTGTTGTTCGTCCTGTTTGTTTAAAGATTGATCCCATGGAATGTTTTCTTTCCATAAGTGTTGTATGAATAATTTAAGTTTGATCATTATAGGAACGAGAAGACCCAATGGATCGTATTGGGAGGCTATGAATTGTAGGATAGTCCTCTTTGTTAAACTTTTTCCTATCCATGGTTTCAGTGTCACACGGATAATATCTCGTTCATGGTTCCATTTAAGACCAAGAAAATTTTCCTGGTTTGTTTGGCTTAGGTCGCATTCAGCTATTCTTTCATTAAATTCTTCGTCATTTGAAAGAAATTCTCTTATGTTCATCGATGCTTCACCAAAAATTTCTTTCGTTCTTTCATATTTATATAAGGCCTCTTCAGTTCCATTAGCTGATATAATAACGTTGTCTACGTATAAGTTCTTTCTTATCTCCCATGCCAATTCACTACCATGATTTTCTAGGTGGTAATTTAATGTTGCTGCTAATAAGAAGGGTGAGGATATTATTCCAAAAGGAACTCTCTTAAATCGGTAACATTTTATATTTTCATTGGTTAGTTCTTTATCAATATCATCCAACCAAAGAAAACGTGTACAATTTCTCTCCTCATTTTGTAGTTCTAGTTGTAAAAATGCCTTTTCGATATCAGCGGTTATTACTATTTTCATCATCCGAAAACGTAATATTACTCCAACTAAATCCGGTAACATTACTGGACCTCGATATAGTACTTCATTTAAGCTTTTAAAACCTTTGTGATGTGCTGAGGCATCATATACTATTCTTAATTTAGTTGTTGATTTACTGGGAGTTAATACTTCATGATGTGGTAAGTGATGAATAACGCCTACCTCATCCTTTGGAGGTACTTCTTCAATTATACCTGAATGTAGTTGATCCATAAGTATTTGATGATATGAATGGAGATTTGAATTATGTCGTAGGCGGTTGATCAAATTCTTCAATCGTCCCAGACATAATCCATAATTATTGCTTAATTTTTGTTTGGAGTCTTTCCATGGCCAACAAACTTGATATCTTCCACCTTGCTTGATGATGGTCCGTTTGAAATGCTTTAAAGCTTGATCATCATCATCATCTTGAGGTGATTCTTGGATACCAATCGTCTCTAATTTCCAAAATTTTTCTAGCTCCGAGTTAATATTGACGTTTGTAGAATATACTACTTCTTTAGGATATAATTCGTTCTTACAAAGTTTCTTAATATCTCCACTTCCAGCAATCATTGGACCAACTTTTGATTGTACCAACATATGCCCTGATTTCAATTCCCTGATTTCTCGTAGGTTAATAAATTTGAAAAAATAGTTAGCTCCAATCAATACGTCAGGTTTTTTCCAATAATTTGTCAAATTTTGAATTTGAAATTCATTTGATGTCTCCACTACCTGCAATTCGTTTGTTAGATAATCAATTATATTTGCTTGTAGTTGTATGATTTCGCTTTCGGTAGTTAGCACATTTAGTTGTATGCGAGCAGTGGGACATGATTTTGGTTCTTTCATACCAAATGGAGCTATTCTCATAATTTGAGTTTCTGTTTCGGTTAACTTTAATTGACGTGATAATTTTTTTGAGATGAAGGAGAGTTGCGATCCAATATCAAATAATGCAAGAGCACTTTGTTGTAGTTGAGGTTGTGATGGATTAAAAACCTTTATCTCCTTACATAAAAGTAAGGTTTCCTTTGTCTGTTTGGATCGAGTTGATAATGTGGAGTTGTAGAGAGAAGTTGAACAATCCTTTCGTTTCGAAGGTTCAATTCTTTCTTGCTCTTCATTTCTTTGAGATATTGTATTGTTTAAAGAAAGTGAATTCCTTTTATTACATAAAGCACTATTATGTGAGCTTTTGCAATAAAAACATTGTTTTTTGACATTACAATTTTGTCCTTTGTGACTGTCTCTAAGACAAATAGTACATTTCTTCAATACTTTGAGACGACTAAGCCGCGCATTGAGAGTTGTGTAGTTCACGCAATCGCTGTCCCAATGATCTTGATTGCAGAATACACATGGTCGTCTTTTCGTTGTTGTAGTTTTCGAAGTATTTTGATTATCTTTTATTGTCAACAATGCTGAAGTTCCTCCGGGATTGTATCGTTGTTTTTGTTCCGGTTTGGTAATTGTAGATTTAATATTGAGTTGAGTGAGTGAATGTTGACAGTTTCTAATCTGTTCATTCACATTAACTAAACTTGTTAAAAAGTTTCTTAGTTTGAGAATTGACCAAGGCATGTCTTTCTTCTTGTGTTTATATATTTTATTTAATATCCATAATGGCAACTTGCTCTCGATCAAGATTTCAATATTTGAATGTTCGAGGCTTTCTCCTAGAGCTTCTAACTGGCGTAGTACTCGTTCTATATTTTCAATTGTTCCAATCCATTCTCTTTCATTTCGTTTAATTGATTGGAGTTCGTTGTATAGTAATGTTGTTACTATTGAGTGATCGCCATATTTTTCATTGAGCAGTTTTCTGATGACTTCATAATTCTCTGGAGCTATATCATATCCAGATATTGCTTGTAGAGCCTTTCCTTTAAGACATGAGTACAAGTAATTCAATTTTTGTATTTCTGGAATCGCTTGTGTGTGAACTGCTGCGTTAAAACTGCTCCAAAATTGTCGCCATTGTCTAGGGTCTCCATCGAAAGTAGGGAGCGATAAATGAGGAAGATTTACATTAGTATTTGAAGAAAGAGTAAATTTTGCTTCTTCTTTTGTTTGTTTGTTCGTCAACTCCTTTGAGAGTTGTTTTAAGTTTTGGTCGACTTCATCCTTGTGCATTGTCAGTGTTATTACAGCTTCCTTTCCTTCGTGTAATAATTGAAATATTCCTTGGTCACCTTCTGTTACTGTTTTGTATTTTTCTTCCTCTTCTTCTCTTCTTTTCATCGTGACGATTTGTTGAGTATATGTGAACCATTTATCGTTGATAGATTCAAGCGTAGTTACGCATAATTGGATTCTTCGAAGTTTATCTTCTAATACTCTTTTTCTTATCACATAAAAATCTTCCTTTTCTTCTATTGTCATACTTGGATCTGGAGATTTGATCTCCAGTTGATTTACTTCTTTAAGAAGGCTGACTAACCTTTCCTTTGCCGGTTGAAAGCTTGCGATAATGTGGCTTGACATGTTCCCGGCTCGTGGCACCAATAAATATTTGTCGTGAAAGGTTTGCCTGGTTGATATTCGAATAATTGCAATACAGTAGGAAGATTAATAAACCTTTATTTTCCGAAAATGTATTATTAATAAACTGAGCAATAAAAAAGAGAATTTATAATAAAAATAAGACCGGAGGAATTGAGTTTGGTTGACAAAGGAGTAGTCGACAACAATGACAATGATCACCCCCCTTTGTTTATTAGAATTGAATTTATATGAGTGAGGATTGGGTGTGTCTAAGATAAAATCACATGTGTAAAGAATTTAAAGTGTTTACAAAGAAGATATTAAAATGAAAGCTAATTTCAATTTTACAGAAAAAATTACATGCATGAAGAATTGGATGTGTTTACAAAAAGGAGATTAAAATTACATGTGTGAATTGTTTACAATTTAAAAAAAGGAGAGATGATTTATGATACTTTGAAATTGGTTAGAAGTTTTCGCGAAATAATTATTCGCGACAAGATTATGAGCAGTAAATAATAGTTCACTTTTTCATATCTTATCATATGTGACACCCTATAATTTGTCTCTTTTGAAAATTTTGCATTAATCTTAATTCAAACTTTTTATTTTATCATAGCTTAATTGTCATTTTTCTCTGGAAGCAGTATTGTTAACTCATTTGTTAACTCATTTTAATATTTGTATCATAATTTTTTTTTGCCTAAAAACAAAATGATCAAAGTGATATTGATAATGATCTGATCTGAAATTTGCATATTTATGATAGATTATTTATTAGAAATAGCATTCACACATAGAAGGAATCCTTTTTACGCAATTATTCATTTGAAGGTGGCTGTTTGTTTGTATGTAATTGATTTCATATTTTGTTGAATGCTACTTATTGTATGTTAAATCGATCTTTCAATTTTTCATCTCAATTTTAAATAAAAATCAAATTTTAGACTTCAAAAATTAATGGAAAAAGAATGATTTTAATGACAATTACATCATTTATTTATGCTATATTCAACATTTCCTACACACTTGCTATATTAATTGTGTGTGTAAAAAAACGAAACGTTAAAACAGTAACTTTTGTAATATTATAATTCTTTTAATTCTATTTCAACTAGTAGCATGGTAGAATAACAGGAAGATTTACCTCAAATTTTTACAGTAACTTGACGAAAGTTTTAAAATAATAGCTACTATATCTCTTTTTGTATCTCATTTCACCAGTTGATTTCATCCTTGCTTTGAAGTAAATGAAGGCACTACAATAAGCAACAATGAGTATTACAAAAAAAAAAAAAAAAAAATCGATGCTAGTTAAAATTATTTGAGAATGAAATAAATTTTAAATATTATTTTTTTAAGAATTGAAAAAAAAAAATAAAAACGAAAACAACAAAAAACAAAGCCTTATCAATTCGAGAACCAAAACTGCACATACTATTTGTTCGTAAAAATTTTAGGTAAAAGATAAAAGTGAACAACATAAACTACTACCACAGCAATCAAAAAAGTTAGAAGTACGAAAACAACCTTTTGGACCTGCTCCCTTACCAAAAGGTGCAATGAGTAAAGGAAGTATTACCGCAGTTGGCGCATCTAATAAACAAACATTGCAACAAACTCCGATTACAGCTAATCAAATGAAACAAATAAAAAATGATGTTAGTCAAAAAAAAAAAGAAAAGAATTTCTTAAAATAATCAAAATCCAGAAAAAAATTAATTTGATAGATAATACAATCTGAGAACTTGTAGCAGTCATGAAGATCAGAGAATTCTCTTTGCTTTAGGTATGTTTTACCGTTTTAATTTTCTGGTGCTAAGGCAATTATAATGAATATCATGCCTAATGTGAGCGATAATGTAAAAGTTATATTGGAAAAGTATGGGACAAAAGTAACCCTCTAAAAGTACAGGTGGCTTTTACTACCTATTGAACCATTTCATATCTTCAATTTGCAATAAGCAGGGGCAATCTTTTGGTAAATTTCTAACAGTTAACTCAGCATACTTTATAAATTGCTTTAAATTACCTTCAATACAAGCCTTCTTTGTTAAAGCAAAATAATGCATTGCTGCTTATGATATCTTTCAGAGTAGCATTCATAATGTGTACAAAATTCGATTAAATTTAAATTAGAAATATATATGAAATCAATTCATTGCTACTATATCCCAAAAAAAAAAAATTTTTTTATTACTATTATTTTTTTTAAATGGCTTTTTAATTTAAAATTTTAAAATAACTACTTCAAAAACAATGCTAATAACAATAGTATAAAAATCATGATACTTACATAGTGATATTAAGAATGAAAAAGAAAAAGAAAAAAAAACGATGACAAGTTAAAGTTAGAAGTGTCGCTTAAATTTTTTTTCATTTCATATTACCTAATTTCATTTTTGATATTAATTTATTCATTGAAATCAAAACTTATTAAAATTATTGGATAGAATGACTAAGCAAATAATAAAAAAGAAAATTTTGGCAATTTTTGAATTGCAATAAAAGTAAGATAGATGTATATGAAAGTTATATTTGATAGTTTTGATAAGGAATAAAATTTTCAAAAATATTTTCGTTTACGCTAATTCATCAAATATTTTAGAAGGATATACAATCGACACAGTTAAGTAAAGAACAAATAGGAAATGCAAAAAATGGGAAGAAAAATCTGTTGCAAGTTCATTCATTTTTGTTTTGTTTTGTTTTTTTTTTAACTTCAAAATCTTAATAGTTTATTACAAATCAAAGAAAAATATTGAATAAAAAAAGAAATTCATTTAAAAAAAAAAAAAAAAAAGATATGAACATTTGCAAATTTTTAGAGGATAAAAGATATAAAAGAGAAAAAAGATGGACAAGTTCAATATGAACAATATGTAAGTTTGTTATTATCATTCTATCACTCAAATATCTTTCATTGATAAACTGATATCTTTTATAGTTATAAAATGATTGAAAAATACTTTATATATTTTATAATTTATATGTGAATATTTTACGCAAACTTTTAAATCATTTCATCTATTCATTTTATGGTACTGAAATTATGTAAACATCAATTTTAGACATATCAATAGCAATCATAAGAGTAATTTTCACAATACTAAATGAAATTAAATATAATTGTAATGCACTTGAAATAGAATATGTAAAAAACCTTTTCCTACAATCAATCACTCAATAACAAGTAAAAATAGAGTAACTTTGTGCAATTGATCTATTAGGATATACTATAGAAATTATCTAAATGTGAGAATTTTTCAATAATTTATTTTCATTCAAATCAATTCATATTCTGATGAAAATTTTAAAAAATCGGAAATAAATAAACTCTATCAACTGGAAAAAAAAAAAATGAAAAATTCTTAGAAATCAATAAAACGGCGAAAAAAAGGAAAAAAATTGGAAATAGCGAAAACTCAAAGAAGCACACGAATGAAAGAGCAATTAAAAAAAGAAGATCAGGTAAATAATGCTCAAATATATCTGAAATGATAATACAAAACTGAGATACAATCTTCTAAATAAATCATAAGCACGTATAATATTATCATAATATTCACTTATCATAAAAATATTACTCATCTGGTCACCATATATTCCATTATAATCATTTTAATTTCACTAATTATCATAATTGTCATAATCAGCATTACTATTTTCATTATACTCATTATTTCACCACTAATTAATTGCTAAACAATTCATTTGCATGACCTATGGGCTATTTTAGGTTTAAGTTTTCTCTAAGAAATCAATATTTCGATAATCCTAAGAAATAATTATTCCGATAATTGCTTCAATACTGTTATATCCATTCCTGATAACATCGAGATATCTTCCATACTATTATCAGTCCTTTTTATCAGTACAATTGCTTACATGCATCCATTTTTTACAGTCTATCATTTGACAGTAAAATAATTGCATATGTTTGCTCCCTAATTTTAACCACTGATACTGCCTTCTTCATTATTTATAATTGCATTTATCATATTCTTATTATCATTGCCATTATCATATTCCTATTATCATTGCTTATCTCATTATCATATTCCTGACAAAACTGCTACTTCTTATTATTCTCAAGGAATTTTCGATCTCTGAATTAAGACAATGCAATTATAAAATTACTATTCTTAACTCTTCAGTCCTTATTTTTTTTTTAATTCAATATCGCAGATTATTTCCATAAACTAATCCCACATTAACAGTGCCCATTGAATATCTGTTTTTGAGATTATTGCACCTACCATCGTTTCATTGCTCCACTAAAAATAGTTTAATCATTTCTAGATGAAAAATGAGGAGCAAGAAGAGGAAGAAGAGGATGATGATACGATGAAAGGAATTGCTTCGTTACAGCAAGATTTGAATATTGTTTCAACTGAAGAATAACTTCTATCAATGAATTATTCATTCATTTCTTATCATTTAGATCAGTTATCGATAATAAACAATGTCAACCCTTTCGAGAATGAGTTAACCCTCTCGTGACCTTTTCATTCCACAGTAAAAGTAAAAAAAAAAAAGCGCAAAAGTAAAAAACAGCCCGGGACTCAAAGTATTGTGAGAATTAATGGCACGGCCACGTTCATTTTATACTTTTCATTTTTCAAACTTTTAACGACACTTCTGTTCCTGTGGATTTAGCAAATTATTCTTAATAATAGCGTAGAAGTAGTGAATTTCACTTTAAAAAGTATAGAATTTCTTTAGCTTTTTTTTTTAAATGGGAATTTAAGACTTTGTTATCATATTCCTTTTACACATTCGTGTTTTGATTTATAATTTCTTTTATTTACATTAATAAAAATGGACACGGTGGAGAGATGGCCAGTGGAAAGTCTGGTCGATGGAGCTAAGCTCGGTGTTCGTATGACTGGAGATTTGGAATTTCGTATGTTCTTTTTTTAATCATTTCGTTTGTTTGCCATATAAATGGAAACGTATATTTATTGACGCATTCCATTTTATCGTATGAAATGAGCATTTTGTAGGTGAAGCAGAAATTTTATCGATACGTATCACGCCAGATCGAAAATACAGATTTTATGTTCATTATATTGACTGTAATCGACGGCTGGATGAATGGGTTGGTGAGTCGGCGTTAGATTTAACCAACGTACGCTTTCCACAAAAGGGCGGTAAAGCTCCAAAAATACAAGTTGATACATCTAGCAAGTAAGTATAGTGGTTGGTTCTAACTCATCCGAAATATATTAGGATGTTATTAAATTTTTCGCTTTTTTTTTAAAAAAAGTAATTTATGTTACCTTTCGTGTATAACGGAGAAATTTCGGTACTTCGTGTTAACTGCAATCTCACTTGAACATACATCAAGAATTACTTCTAGATGTATGTTTTATTTCATTCTTTTCAAATAACCATCTTAAAAAGTAAATATTTGACATGCAAATTGATTTCTTTTACCCAAGAAAAATTATGCAGTTCGCATACATCGTCTCCAGACCGTGAAGTGCCTAAAAAAGGTTCAACACGAAAGAGGAAAGTGGTTGGTGATGCATCAGAAGTTGTCAAAGCAGAAGAAGCACCTGTGGTACCACGTCCACCATCACCGTTTCAGGCGGATATTAAGGGTTCGTTACTGCCTACACTTCATATTACACTCACTATCTTCTATTGTCCCATGTTTTTAGTTATTATTAAACTGGATTTGTTTCCTATGGAAACACAAGTTTTTGAAGCATGATTTTACGGCTGATGAAGATGAACAATGGTTTTTGAGTGTGTAATCCTATGTCTTTGCAGCACCATCACAACGTGGTTCAATGTCAATTATTGGGCATAGTGAGGATGCGTTAACGCGAATTCGAAACATTGAAATGATTGAATTAGGACGTTATCGTATACAGCCGTGGTACTTTTCGCCTTATCCACAGGAGCTCACTACGCTCCCTTGCATTTATCTTTGCGAATTTTGCTTGAAATTCGTCAAAAGTTCCACATGTCTCAAGCGACATATGGTAATTTAATTTCATTGAATTTGAAACCAAATCCGACTACTTCGCAATTGATAATACCGAAACTACTGAGTTTTTATAACAGTGCATTTTGCACAAAAAGAAATTGTTTGAAGTACAAATAAAACCTCAATTTTTTAGAAGGTTGATGTCTTGTTATTTTTCAGAGAACATTCTAATTTGAAACCAAATCGAGTTTTTATTCTTTAAATTATTTGATTCACTGTATTTTTTCAGATGAAATGTCATTTAAAACATCCACCAGGCAATGAAATATATCGTTCTGATAAATTATCTTTTTTCGAAATTGATGGAAGGAAGAACAAAGTTAGTTTTTCATTATATTATATATACCTAGTGCCTATTGTCTTTATTTTACGAATTTCAAGAGGTTCTGTTTAGACGTATGCTCAAAATCTTTGTCTCTTGGCAAAGCTCTTTCTGGATCACAAGACGCTCTATTATGATACCGATCCCTTCCTGTTCTATATTTTAACCGAACAAGACGATCGTGGTTTTCATATCGTTGGATACTTCTCAAAGGTTTTGCAAATATCTGTTTGGCTAAGATTTACTAATTACAGGAAATTTTATTAAGTAACTTTCAACAAGGAATGGTTTCTTTTTTTTTTTTTTTTTCGAGAAGTAATTTTCAAATTCATATTTTAAATAGTGGTCTTTTTTTTTTTTTTTTTTCAGGAAAAAGAATCAGCAGAAGAATATAATGTGGCATGTATATTAGTTTTACCTCCCTACCAGAAAAAAGGTTATGGAAGGCTTTTAATTGAATTTAGCTATGAACTTTCAAAATGTGAGGGAAAGGCTGGATCACCTGAAAAGCCACTTTCGGATTTAGGATTGGTAAACTTTAATGATTCGATTTTACACTTAGTTATCATTGGCTACCATAATATATCTAAATTATCATTTTGTCGACATTCTTTTTGGTCCATAATATTTGGTCTACCCATGGGTGTTGTTTATTTCAAAATTGTAATTTATAGATTTTAGTTGACTTTCTGTCGATTTGAAAAGAAATATAAATTAATGATTTAACATTGCCAATGACATTTGATATATATTTAGATGTTTGATACATGCTTAAAGATCTTCATTTATGTCGATCTCAAAAATCAGATGATCAGAATGACAATCAAAGCAGTAGAAATAGTCAGAAGTGTTTAATTATAGACATAACATTAAGGGCTTTTAGTTGAACCATCACCCTGAAAACATTAAAAGGAGATTGTATTAGTAAACTTAATACTCCATAAAGAAAAAATTTAATTTTTAAATTTAATATATAAAATTACATCTCTGTTCTGGCCGTTTTTATTTCCAATTTTGCCATTGCTTTTTCCTCATCTTTTATTTATATTCTTTAGTTTTAAATAGGGTTTGCTTAACAGATACAACCAGTTGCTGCACAGCAGTTTTGATTGTTAATTTATCTTTTTTCCAGTTGTCTTATCGTAGTTTTTGGTCACAAAAAATCATTGAAAAACTGGTCCAACATCGAGAAAGATGTGATGATGGTGATCAGCTTTATTTGTCAGTTAATGATCTCAGCGAGGAAACAAGCATACGGAAAGAAGATATTATATCAACTCTACAAGTGTATTTTTTTTTATTTTTTTTTCTCTTATAGTTTTTGTTTTTTGTAATTTTACGAAAGACTATTTTTTCGGTTGAATACTACAAAGGACAGTATGTCATCGTTTGAATTATAACTGCATATATTTTATTCAGCAACTGAACCTATACAAATACTACAAAGGACAGTATGTCATCGTTTTAAGTAATGAATTGTTAGATGCATATCGAAGAAGGCAGCAGAAGCGCCAAGTTCGAATTGACCCGTCAAAACTTCATTTTCAACCGAAGGACTGGTCACGAAGGAAAATATGAATTGATGTAGTTTGATGCATTGTGCATTTTATTTATTTCATCCCATTTGTATGTATCACGTGTATCAGTTCCTTATGCTTATTTAGAAGTTTAAAGATTGGAAGTCGTGCCAAAAATTAATAATTCTGATTGAGATGAGCTCATGTCAATTTTTGTTACTTAGGTGATCAAGATTTATATTATTGTCGGTGTATTGTACATTGTGATTTCTTGTTTTATAATCATTTCAATAAACTAGCTTTCCTTCTAAGCAATGGATCCTGTGTTCCACTTACATCTTGGTGCAACAGGGGAATTCAAAGTTTCCTCCTTATTTTATATATTATACCATTTTTAGAGGAAGTATTAAAATTCCTGATATCCATAATAATCAATCACAGGTCATCAAGGATTTATGAGCAAACGAATGATTTAGGATTTATTATTGTCTTTAGATAGACTTAAACACAATGTCTCATCTTGTCCAATCTTGCAAGTGTCTGTGTTTCTTTTTTTTTAAAGTTATCATAAAAATCCATTGAAGTTCACAAATCTTATATGGATCCTTTTGGATTTACTCATCTCCGAAGTAGAGAAACGTTAAGTGTGGTACCTACGATATTTAATCGTAAATACAAAAAGTGCAACTTAAATATCTCAAAGTGAGTGCTTTTCAACTTTTTTGATAATTTTTCCTTACAATCTTTTAAATAACGAAAGTAAATGGAAATTTTTGACATATATACTCTTACCTGCACTACACATTGATATTTTATCCATTAGTAATATTGCAGGTTGATATGAGTTTCTCAACTTTAAGCTAAAAAACATAATTCTTTCCTAGATTCGTATTATAAGTTTGTCATATTATCATATTTTACAGATTAACGAAATCTCAGCAATTATCGGTGCGTTATCTATACTATCCTGTGAATATGCCCATTTGTCGTTATCAGAAGAGACTTATTTTAGATTCTTTATATAATAATTTATTGTTAACATTACCAAAAGAATTGGATACTTTCTTCATTAGTGCCGTTACTATGCTCAATTTTCATAGGTATTAATTTGCTGCAATATCGGTGATATGTATTCAACGTTGATTACTTCGTCTTTTATTAATAATAATTTTAATATGACCCTTTCATCGTTGATTTCAATATTTGAAATACAGAAATGGTTCTATTAGATTAATGGTTCCGATTTGCTATCTTTGATTCACTTGCATATTTTTGAATTTCTATTTGTAATGATTAACTGTCTTGCTTATGTTTTCTGAAGATTATAAGTAATATAAATTATTTCATATGAGCATGCCTTCCTTTTTTTTTTCTATTCCTTTTAATGATAATATGCATCAGATTGAATTATAATTCATTAATGTGAAACAAATAATAATTGAAATTGCAACACATATTTTTATGAATGTTAAAGGTGTTTAAATTTATTCTTTTTGCAGATGGTTTCCAGTGCAGAAGATAGTTTGCATATGTAAAAATGTAGAATCATCGTTGAATGCGGCAAAACGATTCGTTGAAATTACGGGTTATTCACATGGTATTTGTGTATATGCTAATTTGAAAAAGAATGATCGTTATGCGGAATGGATGCAACAGAACATTATATTTGCTACTGCACAGGTTTTTATTTTTATTTTTGTTTTTCTTTTTTTTTTTCTCTTGATTAATGAAAAGAGAAATGTATTATGAATTCATTCATTTAAATTTTTTAAATATAATTATGACTAGTTTATCTATAATTCTTTAGATTAGTAAACTAATAAGAAGGATTTTGTCAAAAATTTTCATTGATATAAAGAAAATTTTCTCTTAGATTTTTTTTATATTGATTAATTAAATGACTGCAAATTTTTTTTTTGTTCTAGAGTGATAAAATGGCTCTGGGCATATCATCTTGTTTATTTTATTTTTATTTTTTTTTACTAGGCAGGGTTGAAATTATCAAAATTAACAGTATAAGGTACCAAATATTTCTTCTCCTTTTCTCCATCTTCAAAGCATGTGTTGAAGATTTTGGAATAAACATTTAAGAGAAATAAACAATTTACACCATTATTAGCACGGTCGGCCGGTACCAATGTTTTATATTATTTTATGAAATCGGTTTTTTTTTTTTTTGTTAACTATTAGAGTTGAAATAAAATTTAATGAAAAAAAAAAAAAAGAAAAATATCCATTATATCATCAAATTGCTTATTTTTTTAGTACGTAAATAAGCACGTTATTCGATAGTAGCATATTTTTTAATCAATCTCTAAACATTGCATTAAAAATTCTTTGGTTTTCATAAATCTTCAAAATTTCTGAAATTATAGTAGTTTGATGTGAATGAATGTTGAAACATTGCTTTAAACTAAACATTCTTTTCCATTACATATTTTACATTCAACTATTAAATGAATTTTCCATTCTTTTAAAAATAATAGAACTAAAATTGAAGAAATGTTAGATTTTTTTTTTTTATTATAGTATTTTGTTCTAAAGTTAATCAAAAAAAGTTAATCATCATTCATGAAAGCCTAAGTGAAAGATAGAAAATCGTACAATTTATTTATATCATCCTATTGGCTTCCATAAATTTGTGAATCTTATAATGCTATTCATTTCCTGAAAACATTTTCAATTTGAATTATCTCAAAAAGTTAATTTTGTTAATTCAAATTTGAACAACTGTATATCACAAAGGAAATTTGAAAATATGTAACATAATCATAACTAATGATATTTTTGCTAAATTTATTTTTTGCTATTTTTTTTTTTTTTTTTTATATTTTTGCTGAATTTTAAAATCAAAACATTTGAACAATGAATTTATCCATGCTTATTGCATTGATTAGTAATTATCAACGATGAAACTATCATTTATGATGAATGTCTAGTCAACTTCTGAAATCTTTTCAAACATATCTAGGGATTGAACTCTTGTATTCATCTTGAAACGTATACTTTCAATCTGAAAATTATAATATAATTACTAAAAATAGTTATTGTATGAAATCTTTAGAAAAATGAAATGATTGTCAAGTGATTATCACTAATTATTGATACACTCATTGTAAGAATTACAGACTATTTCCGTTTGTAGAAAGAGAAAGTTATGAATTCGAATAAAAAAAAAGATAAAGTAAAAGTTAAATTTTCCTGTGATCTCATTATCAGTAAAGAAAAAAGAAATAAAATTGCTTAATTTAAATATGCTTTTAAAATAAATAACTGTCATAGCTATTTTCCTCTTTTACACTTTTACTTAACCACTGGTTAATTACTTAAGAATGTCATCTGTTTTTGGAATAAAAAAAAAATAAAGAAATTTCGAAATAAATGAAATTTACTTTTGAAACAAAGAAATAACATTTAATTAACTTTTTACATTGTCTAAAATCTCTCATCAATATTTGATTGTATTTCAGATAATCTTCTAATAAGTTGTATCATTTTCAATTTTAGAGTATTGTTGCTGATTTCACGGGTAGAAAAGAGCTTTCGGAAATTTGCTTGATGGTTGTGGAAGATGCACATCGTGCTATTTCCGGTTCTCATCCTGTATCGGAATTAATTCGTAATTGTATTCTTCAAAAAGTAAGTTACGGATTGAATTAATTGGAGCAATTTTATATTAGTAACATATTCAGTTTTAATTGAGTAAACAAGTATTTGTAATGCTAAACATTAAATAAATAAAAATGGATTACCATATTTATAGATTGTTCTTTCATTTTCATTATTCACTCAATTTTTTACTTTGTTTTAAAATGAGAGATTTCGTTTTTAAGGCAGAATTTCGTATTTTGGCTTATACAGATTGCAAATTGGATAAAGTTGGTGAGCTGCAATTAATTGTAATGAATCTTCAAATTGATTTGATTCGATCATTAAGCTCAATTAGAGAAGAAATTTCATTAACTTTTGCTTCGCCGAAAATGTGTAAACTCTATATAAATATCAGTGATGATATCAGTCATATTGGCAATGAACTACTGAAAGTATCTCTTTCTCTTTTTGTTAAATTCTTTTTTCTTTTTTTTGAAAGTCATTAGTGAATTATAAGTAAATTACATAAATATTATTTGCCAGATATCATTCAAAATTCAATAGTTACACTATTTAAGAATGAATTACAGTTTATTATCTTTGCTGATTTTGCAAAGAAACAAATTTATGCACATATTAAATCTTCATTAAAGTTATAAAAACTGTTTTCGAACAAATGGGATGTAGTAGTTTTTTTATTTTGATAATTAGAAAAAAAAATAAAGCTGGAAATCTTATTAGTTTTAAAAAATGATTTTTTTTGAGAAAAATTTTTTTGCAACGATTATCAATTTCTTTCATTTCTTTTACTGTTATTACTTTCAGACAATGGAACCTATTGCATCATTACTATACGAAAGTGGTATATTTCCTACAAATGAAATTAAAAAAATTGCGAATTTTTCAATAAATTATTTGCAACGGAAGATACAAAGTGCGCAAGATCATTTGACGGATATTTATTGTGATTTTTTTGAACTTCTATCAGCATATGATATTCTAATGTGTGATGGTTTGACTGCTTTCAGAAATACTCTTCAGGGTTAGTAATTTTTGAATTATCTCAAAATAGCGGCTTTGCTAATCATGCAAAATGCTTTAATGAAAGCTTATAAAATTAGCTTTTTCATTACAAATACTGTTTCTTTTTTTTTTTTTTTTTTTTTAGCATTGTGCAGCAAGAGTAGAACAATTGCAGAAATTACTCAATCGAAAGATATTTTAAGAAAGACTTGTTTTCTCTCGACTCCTTTAAGATCTGACAATTTGCAGTGTCACAAACTGGATATGCTTATTACATTACTTACGAAAACTTCTACATATTATCGTGCGTTTTATCTTTCCTTTCAATGATTTTTACCCATGTTTCGACGAGAAACTTCAATTATTATCATTCAATAGTTCGAGAGTTTTTTAATATTTTCAGGTAGCAAGAAGTCAATAGTAGTATTATTATGTCGAGATCGAGATCCAGCATTTGTCAATAGTCTTCTTCTATCCGTTACAGCGCGGCTTTCTGACAAAGAATCTGGATTTGCTTTTTTCCTCGTTAAAAGTAATACTTTTGCTCCTTTTTACAAATGATAATCTAAAATATCACCACTTCTTTGTCTACCTTTTTCTAGTTCATTTTTATTCGATACTTATTTTACTTGTTCATTTACTCTCATGATTTTTTCTTTTTTTCTGTTCCAGAGAATAATCATCAAGCGGAAATTTCGGAAAGTATGATGAAGGTAATAGATTTTTTTCATTCAACTCTAGTCTATTTAACTGCATTATATAATTTTTTATAAAAAATTTGTATGTTATTGCATATTCATTGTGAAATATTTGTGATATTTATAGGATAAATTATGCAATGTTATCATTGTACCATGTGGTTCTGATGCAATCGAAATTAACGTCGGTTACGTAGATTCTATAATTTGTATGGATGAAGGGTTTGTTTGTTTGTTTGTTTGTTTTTTTTTTTTCAAGCTATCTCTTTTTTTTTTATATTTAATCAAACTAATGCCCATTTATTATTTAGCCTATGTGCGCTTCATTATACAGGAACAATCAGAATACGATCAGAGGGAAATCTTTCAGCGCTCTGTTCTTCAGGCTATGAGACGGTACGAGTAGGCATATCAAAAATAAAAATAAAAAAATAGAAAAAAAAAAAAGACCTCAAACATCTTAATGTCATAGGTTGATGTTTAATTAAAAGTAATTTTGATAAAATTAAATAAGAAGATTAATGAATTTGTATAGGGAGCAAAATATATTAAGCTTTATTATTCAAAAGTAACACAACTTTAAGTGGTAGAATTTTTTGTGATAATAATAGTAAATATTGATCACATTTCAGAATATCTACAGCTTTTTGGCAATTGAGGGGACTGTTGATTGTGTAAAAATGGATCACATTAAAGGCTTACAGCTATGTAACGATGTATTACCGATGTTGCCATTTAATGTTATACCTGAAATTGTAGAGTACTGGGCTCAAAATGTTGATAACAAGTTGGATTTACTTTTTTTTTTTCATTCGACAAATGAAATTCAGCTATGTAAGTAATATCACTGTTAATGTTTATCACTATTACAGTGATGGTTTGCTAACGATGGTTCAACGTTTGGATTTTCAAGAAAGACTAGCTCTCAATAAGCCAATGAATAGTTTAAATTTGATTAAGGTTTTATTTTTCACTTAATCGATTCTTTTTCTTTTTTCAGCAGATTTAATATTTACCAAGTAAATCTGTAATTCTATTTTTAGCTGTTTGTTTGAAAATATTAATAGAAAATTTTGTCTTTTTTAAATGCCTACATTTTGATATCTAACTCTTCCATTAGGACAATCATAGTCTATTGGATTTCTGTGTGAAAGAAACATTTCTGTGGCAAGATCGTCTGCAACGCTTCACGTTACTTGGTCACAGTGTTAGTGCTTCCAATTTAACAAATATTTTCGGTGGAGACCCGAAAATATTGGAGAAGCAAGTTCTAAGGTATGTTTTAAGATATCTGAATTATTCCAATACATATAATATGGAATTTTGATTTAACGATAGTGTTTTTTTTTTCCTCTGTATTGGTTTAAATCTTGATTTTAATCGTTGTTTATCATAGATTACAAAATAGACTCAAGTTAAAATGGATAAGTGAAGAAGAGTCACAATCATCGAAAATGGATGAAGCAAATTTAATGGAAGTACAGTTGAAACACGATAAACATTCAAAAATGGATTGCTCTCGAAAATCATCCGGTCAGAAACGATTAGCAAAAGTATGACTATTTTCTAAACAAAAATTCTGCAAATTTTAGAAATATTTGCATGGCTAACACAACTTTCTATCTAAGCATTAAACATTTTTGTGGTTATATAAATTGAATCATTATATAAATTTCAGAGACCATCCAAAAAATGTGACTCGACAAAAGCACAGCGCTTGAACCGTATTGATTCAGCTAGCTTTACACTGTTAAAAGTGTTGAAAACAGAAGTAAAATTAATCTGTTTACTTTGATCGTCATTTTTTCTGCTCTGTTTTCCATTTGTATATTTTCATTTGCAAATAGGGAAAAAAAATAGTTTTATAATAGTTAACTAATCGAAAGGAAGATTTGATTTATTCACTTGTACATTTCATTTGCAGATAGAGGAAAAAAATTACTTTTATAATAGTTAACAGATTAGACTTGACAGACTTTTTTTTTTTTTTAACGATTATTCAGTTAGACAGATGACACTTTCTAACTATGGAAACATTCTTCTATTTTTTAACTTTTGCAAATTTATTCAGCTGTTTCAGTTAAAAGCAGACGACTTCGTTGACAACATCAAAGAACAAAATGAATATCGTGAACGTTTAGAAGGGATAACTAAAATCATTCGAAAATTGAATGGTCTAGTGAGTTTATGACGAAAATCTGACGTACTTTGATTGTTTCAACTGAAATTTCTGAATTTATAGTCTTTAAATATCACTAGGAGCATGTCATCCTAATAGATTGAAAATTTCCTATCACTGTAATACTCATATTTATAAAGTAGAATGCAATACGGTGGAACTATCTGCCAAATAATATAGAATTTGATATAAAAAAGGTACATCTCGTCACGAAATCTGAACAGGTCAACATAACAAAATATTAATTCTAGGTTTCTTTTTATTTTAATATTTAAAAAAAAAAAAAATAGATGAATTAGATAAGCATAAATCATGCTAGAGTGAGTTTTAAAGTGTCAAGATAGTGACGAGAGAAGACGACAGCAAGTGAGTTACCTGTAAAATGCTGTCAAGTGAGGAGAAATTTTTTGATCGTTATTCGAAAAGGAGGGAAAATTCTCTTTCACATAATGTGGAAGAGAATTTTGAAAATTGCAAAAGTATGAAATTTTATGCTTTCATTATGATATTTACTCTTTGATATTTTTGCTCTTCTTGAAAACTTTCTCATCAGAAATAACCGCTAAGTGTTAAATTTCTACGTTAAAAGGATTTTTTTTTTTTTTTTCATGCTACTGCTTTACTATTCGAAGCTGACAAAAATTTCGCATAGAAATTCGAGAGTGAATGAATCGACGAGCTACATGAATGTTCCATTTAATTTTATTGATTTTGTCACTATCTCTTTACATCCCAATAGTATCAAATTAAAGAAACTCAAATTTTGAAAAAAAAAGTTTTTCAAAAAAGTTGTATTCTCTTGCAGATTTAATTGGTCATAGGCAAAAATACTAGCTACATTTGAAGTATTGAAGATTAATGCTAGATATAAAAAAAAGAAAGTGGAACAATTTTACATTAAGCTTTGACAGTTAAGATATGTCTAGAAAAGAAGACAAATTTTATGTGTATGTATAACATATAATAAAATGTATCTTGTTAAATTCCAAACGAAATTTCACTTTTCATTTTTCTAAAATGAGAAGAATGAATAGTTTTACTAAATGTGTTCGTAGTATTATCATACTTTTTTTTTACCTATTTTTGTTGACTTTTGTGAACAACTGCGACCAATTTTTTTTCTAGTAAAACGAGGGCTGAGCCGGGGATTGATCCCGGGACCTCTCGCACCCTAAGCGAGAATCATACCACTAGACCACTCAGCCCTGTCCATCTACAGGTCACTTCTTTTATCATCACAAAAAATGTTAAAAAATTGAGTAACGATTTATACGGGAATGACTTACGTGTTACGTGTTTCATTGCAACAATATTTGCTATCATTCTATTCGATCAATACTGATAAGAGTGCCTGGTGCACACCTTAAATTATCTATTTAATAGAATAATGAATCACGTTACGATACATCCGTGTACTCTTGTATTTAATCAATATTTATTGAAAAAAAAAAACATTTATGTGCAAGCTGCATCGAATTGATTTTTCGTTCAAATTACTGAAATAGATAATTTTGATATTCAAATTTATGAATGCATATCAGTTCTTTTTTTTGTTGTTGTTGTTCTAAACTTCTAGTAAATTGACTTTCTATGATTTATACTATAAATCATAGAAATATCACACTTCATAATACCTTTTCTATTACAAATTTATGATAATATAATAAGGAAAAAAGTTTATAGTGTTGGAAAATTGTTATTTGTATAATTAAAACAATATAACCAAATTAAGCAAAACAACAGCTATTATTATTTAAGCATTTAAATATACAAATGAATTGCAAATGTAAAAAAGATTTAGAAAAGATCACAAGAAGTTATAAATTGCTATATTTTCAAAATATTTGTGTCCTCACTTTCTATATTTATTGAGGATTGCACGAATTGCATACTCTCAAGACTAATACCAACTAATTTAAGAAATTTTCAATGGATTATATTTAGTTTTTTTTTTCCTTGTAGTGCTCCTCTTGGGACGTTTTTTTTTTTTTTGTTTCAATATATTGCTCGTGGATTTAGATTTTAAATGGTTTACATTGCTTTTTGAATATTTTTTGTTCCGCTTGATTTTTCATGTTCACTTTATAGAAATGATGTTTGTACAAAACTTCGTAAATTCTCTTAATTTAAATTCCTTTTTCGTAAATTCCTTTCCAAAAGTACTATAATAGATAAGTAATCGTTTGTACTTGGTAGTGAAGTTTGTACTGTAAAACTGTTCAAGTCATATTTTTGATCAATTTATTATGTATATATACAATTTTCACCAAATCATAGTATAACAGAAGTTCAGAATTTACAAACTCACTGAGCATCAAACAAAAGGAATTCATTAGGTAACATAAACAAATTAACAAGAAAATAGACTGGATCCAGTCCTATTTGAACTTTGTTACAATGAGCAAATAGATTCTCAAGATACTACTGTTGTGATTAGAAATTTTACTCTTCAAAAATCAAAAATCCATGAGATTCCATGAGAACTGTTATAAATACATTATAAAATATATAATAAGAGATAAGAACAGGTTAACTTCTTTTCCCAAAATCTTTGAGAATTTGCAATCATTAGAAACGAAAAAATGATTCTTGTTATAACAAGAAAATCCAATGATTGAGAGGTTATTTTTGTTTGTAAGGTTTAGTTTAATGTGGTAAAATGTTTCAATAATATCTGACTAGTAAAAATAATGTTTTTTTTTCACAGGAAAAAAAAAAAAAAAAAAAGAAAAAAACATCAGATTAGGTTAGGAAAAGAAATACGTGGAGTGTCGCACAGCATCTAGGTCAAGCACGCCTTGTCGAACTTTTGGTGTGAATATTTTCCGTAGTTCTTGGAATTCTTCGGTTAACATAACAGTACGTAACCAATTCGGCAAATATTTCTGTCGGAAGAACTAAAAAAGAAAAGAAAAAATGAACTGTACATATCACAAAAAAAGCAGAATAAAATGTAAGGGGAGGTAGCTCATCATTTCAGATCTTACTTCTGCACATTGCTTTACTAGTGGTTCGCTATGCAAATGCACAAATTGTTCTCGACATATCTTATTCATCTCGTCCACCTCACAAGCATGCGTCCAATAGCAATCATGTACTGCTGCAAATGTAATACCCAATCGTCGGCAGTATAAAGCAGTTAACATCATATGGGTTGAATCCAACGAATGTACGAAATTTGGAGGAAATGCGTTAATCTGTAAGATAATTTCTTGAGTAAAAACCAGATTCCCTATAAATATAAATGACTTCCGCTTCTGACCAAACATTTCAAAATTCCTTACTCGCAATACACTTATTCAAGCTATATTCCATAAGATCCAATCATTCTTACACTGTTTAAAAAATAAACCTACAAGTCTTGTATTAAACTAACATTGTAAACAAACCTGCTTGATCGATTTAGGTAGTCGATAAACTTTATTTTCCTCCATTTTCGTCTCTAAATAGGGTTGATAAACAGGTAAACCAAGAGGTGTAATCCACTCCACTGTATGCATCAGTTTTACAATTGCTTCCGCACAATCGCGAAACCAGTCTTTCATTTTCCTGAAATAATATCGTATTTATAGTATATAGAGAAATAACAAAAATGAGCAGAAAAACAATTATGTGAAAGGTAAGATGAGTGAAAGTATTTACATTGAACTAGTAAAAGCGTCGTTTAGACTTCGAAATGTCCTGTCTGCCAAATAGGTTGCGTACTTCATACGCTAAAAAGAGTAAAAAAGAAATCAGACATTTGTTCCAAAAAAGAAAGAACCAAAGTATAAGAAATTTTTACTTATTTGTATTTCTTTTTCAAAATGCATACAACAGTATTTTACAATATAATATTTCAATCTGAACAAATAAGATAAAACGCATACTTCATTCGAATCTATTTCCATCGCTTTAAGCTGTCTTTCGATTTGTCTTCGTGCTCCATTCATTGTTACACCATAAACAGTGGTCATTACTGTTTGTTTTATCACCTAAACAGCAAAATTATGTAAAAAGGTTCATTTTCACAGATAATTTTGTTAAGCTCTAGTAAATTTCAAGAAATCCTGCTTTACATACTTTTCTCGAAATAGGACCTGGCATAACGGTACGTAATGACAAAGCCAAATCATGAACTTCAGATTCTGGACTTTGTTCATCCTCCAAACGTTTTTGTTCAACTCTGAAATGCATTGCATTAATTTTAAAGAGTATCTATCATAGTGATGAATGTCAACCCTGAATGAAATTTCTAAACAGATAAAATAGCATACCTAGCAGCTACACTGGAATAAACATCGGATGGCTTTTCAGCCGGTACTAAGTTCACTTCTTTTCCACCTTCCTGATCTCTACCTAGTGCTGCATAATGCTGCAAACCATTGCATGAACCATCCTGATATACCGGTAAGTGACTCACGAAAGTCGTCGGATTACCTGTAAGATTTTACATTTCCAAACCGATGAAAAACTTGAAATTTTCAGAGAAAGCAGTAACAGAATATATAAATAATGAAATATATAATTGACCATATATGAAAAATAATCCTGGCGCTATAAAGTGCAAATACACTCTAGTTATCAAATCAGGAAAATGGCTCAAATGTGTTTTCCGTGGATCACGGCTATTCGTAATGGATCAGTATCCTAATATATCTCTCCCAAAACTCAAAAACATTCAAATGCATGTACTTTCAAAACAAAATAAGGGACTGCAAAATAAAAGTTAACTAATATAATGAGGCAAAATTATCTCAGACTATATCTACTTCCATATAATAATCTCACTGCAAAATTTGAACAAAAACAACAAATAAAATAGCAAATACTTGGCACTGTAGAGATGGTAAAACAGGTAAGTCAAAAATCAAAAAAGAAAAGCATGGAGAATTACGATTAAGTATAATGAATTGAGCATTATAAACACAAAAGAATCCCGGGATCATAATATGTCCATTAAGTAATGTTTGTTGAGTATATTTTGAACAATCTAATCTTAAGTCTAACGATTAATTCAAGCTACCAAGAGGTGATAAGAATAGCAAATATATTCGTAAAGTAAGAAAATTACCAGTTTGTAAAGCATTCCTAATTTCTATACATGCGGATAAAGTTTGCCACGGTTCTTCTGACTTCGTCCACCACATTTCACCTAAATGATACTTACGGATCAAATTTCAAATTTCCAAAATGTGAAAAATAGATCGACGATATTACCAGCATTACCTGATAAGGGCTCGTTCGCACTTTCCAATATTTTCGGCAACATTTCATCAGCATATGCCACTCGGGAGAAATTCGACTCCTTCTTTAAAATACCCGTCAAATTTATACAGTGAAGTTTTAGCCACCGCAAACCATCGTCACCCAGTGGTCGACCTAAAGTTTATCAGTTTCGTCTTTAAGCTTTTATGTTCTCTCTTATCCACTTAAGATCATACTGATTATAAATGTATCGTAAAAAAAGAAGGTACCTTCTGCAAACACCAACAGCGAACGATTTAAATCATCACCCATATGATTCAAGTATGGAGTTATTGGATAAACACGTCCTCGAAAATCCATACTATGCGGAAAGAAAAGTACACTTCCTTTAAAATGGTTTGCCATCGTCAAACGATAAAGCAGCCAACACCATAACGAATTCAACTCGTTCCTGAAAACAATAATCAGAACAATAATCGTTTCTGAAAACAATAACAATAATCCTTCTTTTTTCTTTTAAAATCTACTTTCTTTATATTTCCTATCTGGTTGGAATACCAGAAAAAAAGTAGTTTAAAATCATTACTGTAATTGAAAAACACAATATAAATAAGAGATCATTTAGGGTAAATTTTGAAAGGCGTACAACCATATAAAGTCGAACACCTTTCGATTACACAACATTCTTGAAATTTTTATCTGATAAAAAAACCTTTTTTTCATAGCTTCATATTTCGCTTTTGAGTACTCTCGCCAATCATTGATCGGCAGTTCATCTACTTCCATATTTCCGAATTTAACTACATAATCCGGTATCGGAACTCTGCTTGGATGAATTGGTATCGACAACTTCTCCAAAAACTTTTCATCCGTATTCGTTTGAGCCATTTCAAAGACCTGAAGCCTAGAATAACGGCTGCAAAGAGATGTTAGAATACAGAGTAATTAAACTGTAAAAAGGAAAAAATAGAAATATGCATCTAAGTCGGAAAAATTCTACCTTAAGAGCCACATCAAGAACAGGCTCATTTATTTTCCACGGCGTAATACCCAAATCATTCAATGCATCAAAAACAGGTCGAGCTTGTTTGCTGGAACAATTTTTAGATGATTGATATCAGCTGCTATTTCAAATCTAATTCAAAAATTTACAAAAATAAAAGCTTAAAAGCTTACATACCGTGACTTCAGCCGCTTTTTCATTTCGTAATTTACGTTTATCATTGAATAATCAGGATGTGGCCTTAACACATTGAAAGAAGATCCATAATACGGTCCACCTTCTCCAGAATCCAACCATGGTCGCGGAGGTACCTACTTTGGTATGAATGCTTTAAAATTACTTGAGATTAAAAGAAGGAATAATACTAGTGATAGAGATCAAATTTTATGCTCCACATCCTAATCCCTTTTTTCAATAAAAATTATACTTTCTAGTAATTTGGAAAAAAATTAAGAAAAAAATGAATGACAAACAGCGGAAGGTAACAAATCAGCAAACCCTAGCACTACTGATACTTGGTTTGGCAAAATACATTGTTCACATCATTTTAGCATATGAAGAACGATGAATAAATATTTTAAATTTTTGATTCAAAATATTATGCTAGATTTCTATTTATATGATTGACCTGGAAGTTAAAACATTATGTGAACTAACTTCCATAGGCAATAAATCAGTAGGGAAAACCATCCATTCAAATTGATGCTTGCTCACAACTTCCATCATTGCATTACATATTTTTACCATTTTCGTTACACATAAAACCTCTCCATCAAAAGAACTCTCTTCATTAACAACATCTTTGTAGGAGAACACCGGAATAGATATAGTCTTCCCAAGATCACCTGTAAAATGATGTTATATTAAAAAATTTTGATTATTTTTTTAAAATAACTTCATTTCTCTTTTTATGACATTGTTCATTAAATTTCAAAAATATACCACATACCAGCTTTGATATGTGCTTGGCATGCTTCCAAAACGACAGATGTTAAGAATGAGCCAAGCTGTTCACGTATTCCGGATCCGAAATCAGCACAGGGAAGTTTAAGCTGAGGGCTTATATGCATTCGAGAAGCACATTGCATCCACCATTCACGTACAGTGTATTGTCGTGAAACTTCCTCGTCCAGAAAATACTTAACGTAATCAGAAAAAATTTCGTCTTGCATCTGCAATTATACAAAAATACTGATTAAAAAGTCCACGTGAAGAATAATTTTGCCACCTGTTATGATAAATAACATATACTTACCTTAGTTATAGTTTTCGATACTTTCTGCAAAAACATCTGTCCAATAACGTTTAAAATGGGATTTGCTAAACAGTAGTTAAATGTAGTAGAAGGAACCAATTCTTCACCTTGGGCACATATTGACATTATCGTTGACAGTATAAGTGAGGTACAGATTCGCAAATCCACAACGCTCATAAAATCCTTCACTGCAAAGTATTATTTATGCGAAAAACAGCACAAATTCCCACACAAACCAGCACAATTTTCCTTAGATACAGATACAAATAATGAATTATAAAACTTACAAGGATACTGCCGCAATTCTTCTACACGCAATGTTAAACATTCTAATATACTTCTGTACCAGTTCCATTCTTTAATCAAACCTTCCACCGGAATTTCATCCGATTTCCGATTGAAATTTTTTACAAATAAATACCGGTCGGCTTCTCTTTGCAGTTGCTCAGCAAATTTCTTTGTGTATTGATCCTTAAACAACAGTTTATTGCATCACAGAAAAACAATCCATATTTTAGTTTAATTAAAGAGAAAAGACACACCTCTGCAAAACAGATATTAGAATATGGCGATCCACGATATTCATCTCTCGAAGCAGGCTCATGCAAACCACTAACAAGTTTGAGATCCTGAAGAAAAATCACTTCTGCAACTTTCAACTGTGACGCATACAAAAAACAGTTGTTATTCATAACTTCCAATTATTTAATCACAAAAATCTTAAGGATTTTACCTTATCATACGGCCATTCTTTCTCTTCATCCCTGTAAACGGCATTTTTGCCAAAAAGTTCACGCTCTCGAAAACGAATCACCACTTGATCCTCATCAGTAAACAAAAATCGATTGTAAAATCGCGGTAAAGAGCCTAATCCTGCCTGAATGCATTGTAAATAGTTCAAATTTTGTATTTCATTTTGTTCACTTAAATTATGACATTCCAATATTATCATTAACACCTAATATATTCATTAAAAAATCAACCTGGGAAGTTAATTTACGCCTCAGTTCAATGTGCACATCGTCAATATCATTCGACTTTCCATCAATTGTTCGAACTCCAATCCATCTTTCAAAACGATCCAGAAGAAGTATCCAGGATGCTTTTGTATCATCTCCTTGTATTGGCATTTGCTCCATTAAATTTGCTAGTGAGAAAAACAGCTGCAGAGGCTCCTGTGAGTTCGCCAATGATTGATTTCTTGAATAATGACTGTAACGACGAGCAACCAGCACTAAGGCAACACTAAAAATCTGAAATGGAAAAAAATATAAAACTTCAATTATGGAAAACCAAAAAAAAAAAACTCCTGAACTAATCAAAGCTTCAGAAAAAAGGAAGATACCTCATCATCTTCTCGATCCGCAAGCGACTTTTCACTGAGGGAATCGAGGTAAGCATGTGTGTAAGCAACCAAATTTCTATAATCATCTCTAAGCGCATATCTGCAAAAGGAATAATACAAGTAGTTACTAAACATAATAAAAGAAAAATTGAATAATCGCTTCGTCATACAAATTAGAGCTTATGCATTATTTCAGAATAGTGATAGTTTCATTATAAGCAGTATCCTTGCTTACTAAAATAAATATACAGCGAATTTTTATGGCTTACATCATTCATGATCATAAGACACAACAACTATATGTATCATTTATAATAGAATGCACTTACCGAATCAAATTACATTGTGCCGTGTTTCGTTTCACTAATTCACCGTATCGTTTATACTCACTTTTTAGTTCCCTTACAAGAAGTGCTTTTGTCCGCTCTTTCCAATTTACTTTCTTTTTTGCAACTTTTTCTTTTCCTGTCGTTTTTGCAATTGGTACAGTAACTAAAATGAAATAAAACAATAATGATATACCATCACAATCATTCAGACTTATCATTTGAAATGTTAAGCTAGTAACAATTGTCATGCTATAAAGTGACTAAATGGTTTATCACTCATGAGACTGTAATTAGAAATGATCTGATCATTTCTAATCATTAAATTCTATAGATTAAATTCTCTAGAGATTAAAAAAATTAAGAGATTAAATTTATAGATTAAATTCTATAGTGAAAAAATTCTGTCAATCATTTTATGTACTGCAATTCAAGACAAAAAGACATTCATAAGTTTTTTTGTTATTTTTCTAAATAACACAAAAAGCTGAAAAAAAAAAAAAAATTTGCTGAAAAATCTATCCTATCCTCATAAGTTTGTCCTGAAAGCATTAAAGTAAGACTGTACAATGCTGAGAGTACTTGGTGAGATAGCATCACTGTAAGAGCACTCGGATAATCATGTAATTCAGTAAGGATAGTAACTTAAACATTGTAGAAAGGAAATATCACCGGTAGATCTTCTGGATTCGATCGTATGATGATTTGCTTTCCGGATGACTTGTTTAACCAATTCGAGATGTTTCGTTAGATGAAGATGCTTCATCTGAAAATTAATAAACGATCGAATTATTATAGTTCAAATTATTATCAATAAATGATCAAATTGTTATCGTTCAAATTATTATCAATAAATGATCAAATTATTATCGTTCAAATTATTATCAATAAATGATCAAATTGTTATCGTTCAAATTATTATCAATAAATGATCAAATTATTATCGTTCAAATTATTATCAATAAATGATCAAATTGTTATCGTTCAAATTATTATCAATAAATGATCAAATTGTTATCGTTCAAATTATTATCAATAAATGATCAAATTGTTATCGTTCAAATTATTATCAATAAATGATCAAATTATTATCGTTCAAATTATTATCAATAAATGATCAAATTATTATCGTTCAAATTATTATCAATAAATGATCAAATTATTATCGTTCAAATTATTATCAATAAATGATCAAATTATTATCGTTCAAATTATTATCAATAAATGATCAAATTATTATCAAATTAAGTGTTATCGTTAGCATCTCTAATCAACTACCTGAGATAGCTAAATGAATGCAACTTAACCAATAACTTAGTGAATAATGCAGAAATATTCTGCAAAAATTTGAAGATAAGTAATCTTCCCATCCTCTCAATCTTTGCTCATACTATTAACAATGACTATTTCGATTTATCTCATCTCTCATCTCAACCTTTCAATTACAATAATCTCACTAGCTCTCAACATTTCTCTGTCACCTCTTCTCTTTAATACACTTTTCCAATCCCAGCAATCTCTACCACTCTAATCCATTACTATACTATCTCTTCTTGTCTTTCATTTATTCATTTTTACAAGAATGCTGCAAACATTGCATTTTGTTTGCGGGAAATTTGATTCCTAATGCGCATTTTCCACTTTTAAAATTATTTGCTATCAGTGTGACGTAATCAGATGACAAGCTTTGATAATCCAGGATTATTTTATCAGGTTAGTTTTGATAAGTGAATCCTGTTATCAGTGTATTATTTGTATTAGAGTAAAATAGAGTAGAATAAATATTATGATTGTTTGCATTTGGATTTATAGGAACGATTTTTTGCAACAGATGAGGAAAATCAAGATGAGGGACGTGAATTAATTGCTGAGCATAAAGAAACCGTTGAATTATTTCGAAATTTCATTCGTGAATATAATGTTGGTGGATTTGGTCTTGTTTACAGGTAATGAAATTTCTAATTCTTTTCAAAATAGATCATAAAAATAATGTAACATTTTTTTTTTCTTATTTCACAAAAAAAATAAAAAAAATTTGAATTTTTTTAAAAAATTTTTATTGGAAGTAATTTGTTTTTTTTTTTTTTTTTTTTGATGAAAGGAAGAAGAGTTACAGGGATCAGCTGAAAAGGAATTGTAGTCTTGGAAAGCATCATGTAGAAATATCGATGGATGATTTGAAGGGTTTCAGTGAGCCGTTAGCAAATAAATTACATCAGTATCCTGCACGATTCTTAGCAGCTGTATGTTTTCAGGGCTTTTTTTTTTGATTTCTTTAGTATTAATGAACATTATTTTAATCTTAATATCTTTTTGCAGCTTGAAGAAGCGGCAAAACTTGTTGCTGATGAGGTAATGCAAGGAGTAGAAGATGTAATTGAAATTCATGACATACAGGTGACACTTCGTACTAACGAGCTTGCACACAGTATTCGGCAATTGAAAGTGAGTTGTCTTGAAGGCTGTAAATATTTTAGTTTTTCTTTTTTCTTTCCATTATTGGTTTTTTAATCTCGAATGGCTTTTGTCACTTAAACTTTTTTTTTTTTTTGCAGAGTGCTCAAGTATCTCGTTTGGTTAAGATATCCGGAATTATAGTTGCTGCATCACAAGTAAGAGCAAAAGCCACTCGTATTTCGATTCAATGTCGAACATGTCGACATACTGTAACCAATCTAGATTTAAAGCCTGGACTTGATGGCTTTACATTACCACGCAGTTGTGGAGCGTAATATTTTGGTCTTATTTTTTTTCATTTCATCAAATGTGGGTGATGTCGGTTGTTAAAAGAGATTTTAGTTTCATACTACGAAAAATTTGCTATTTTTATATATTAAAAAAGAAGACTTCTAAACATTTTTAATAATTTTGTTCAGCAATCAAACCACTCAACTGCAACGATGCCCTGTTGATCCATATCATATCATGCCCGACAAGTGCCACTGCATTGACTTTCAGACGTTGAAGCTTCAAGAAAATCCAGAGGATGTTCCTCATGGAGAAATGCCTCGTCATATGCAACTTTACTGTGATCGGTTGGTTCATATGTATATTTTATTGCTGCGATACTTCTTTAGTATGCATCTATCGGATTAGTTTGTTTCAGTTTGTGTCAGAACGTTCTGTGTAAGAAAATAATAGTTGAAAACATGATTTTTTTCAATTTTCCAATATTATTTAAAGTAGGGAAGTTTTACTAAGCATACTTCTGCAGGTTGTTGAAAAACTCATCTAATATTGTTTTTATTACAGCCATTTAACAGACCGTGTTGCACCAGGAAATCGCGTTATGATTGTTGGTATATATTCCATTAAACGAATGTTCCAGAAACAGGTAAAAAAAATTGTCTAAAGTTATTTATAGTCTAGGAAACGACATTAGGTTCTTTTTTTGCTCAGTTTTCAATTTTCCAGAAAACAACAGATAAAACGCTATCAGGCATCCGTGCACCGTACATTCGTGTCCTCGGAATTCATGTGCAAACTAGTGGTCCAGGACGTGCCGAACAGCGACAGTTCACACTTGAAGAAGAGAAAATATTCAAGTATTTTGCTTTTCATGAATTCAAGAGCAACCGCTGATTTGTGAAAATGAACCGAAGAGAATGTGATTGTTCTAGGGATCTGTCCAAGAAAGCGAATATATATGATCTAGTCTCTCAAAGCATTGCTCCGTCAATTTATGGTGCAGAAGATATCAAAAAATCAATCGCCTGCCTTCTATTTGGTGGTTCACGTAAAAGGTTTATTATATCATGTGTTATTATGAAATTCTCAATTTAAAATATGAACTGTTATATCATCTGTTATTATAAAATTCTCAATTTATATATCATACTGTTTAGGTTGCCTGATGGATTAACTCGACGTGGTGACATCAATATTTTATTGCTGGGAGATCCTGGTACTGCAAAAAGTCAACTGTTAAAATTCGTAGAGAAGGTGTCTTTTCCTTATTTAAAATATTGTGATTTAAAATACATCGCATCATTCATTTAAAATTACTGGAATGATTTTTTCTGAAAAATTAGAGTTGTTTTTGAATGCTATTAATTTGTGCATTATTAAGGTTGCACCAATTGCTGTCTACACATCAGGTAAAGGTAGCAGTGCTGCTGGATTGACTGCCTCAGTGAATCGCGATCCACAATCGGTATTTCCCTTCCTTTTGGCTTAAACAAAAACCTTTTTTTTTTTTGCTCTATGAGGGTGTCACTCTTGATTGCAATTTTTTCAATTCGTCAAGTTTTAGCGATCATTTATAATGGAAGGTGGTGCTATGGTACTTGCCGATGGTGGCATTGTTTGCATCGATGAATTCGACAAGATGAGAGAAGATGACCGAGTGGCTATCCATGAAGCAATGGAACAACAGACAATTAGTATTGCCAAAGTATTAATTTTATAATGTCATTTATTTAATCGAAGAAAAATGAAGTGCAACTTTGGAGGATTATTTTCGTTACAGGCAGGTATCACTACGACACTTAATTCACGTTGTTCTGTACTGGCAGCAGCAAATTCAGTATATGGCAGATGGGATGATTCAAAAGGTGATGAAAATATCGATTTTATGCCAACAATATTATCACGATTTGATATGATTTATATTGTTAAGGACACTCACGACGTCGCACATGATACGGTAAGCATCTCGTCTTCAACGTTTAAAGCAGAAATATATTAGTTACTATGAAGTGAAAAGATTGACTTCATCGTTTTATTTTTTCTCATATAATATTTTCATAATAACATCCCTACAAATCGGTACTATATAACAGATTGTGCAGCGTTTCATTATGAGATCAGATCTATTTTAAATTGTACAATTATCGACATGATCATACTAACCTACTTTGTCATTAGTTGCTTAGCAGCTAAAATTCTAGCCTTCAATTTTTATAATATAGTTCGTAGATAGTTGGTATATCTAGTTTGTTCAAAGAATGAAATCTTTTCTACTTATTTTGTAATAAAACTCTTACTGCAGACATTAGCTAAGCATGTTATCTCGGTACACGTGAATGCCTCTAATAATCGTCTACAAGAGACAGCTGTTGAAGGAGAGTTATCGTTGGAGCTCTTAAAAAAGTCTGTTTTGTTTTGTTTTGTTTTTTTCCTTTCTTTATGATGTTTTTTCTTTCAAGAAAATCGAATTATTTCATCCATACATTCAGATATATTGCACATTGTCGTATTACATGTGCACCACGATTATCAGCTAGTGCAAGTAAAAAGCTTATCCATAATTATGTTCGACTTCGCAATCCTGTAATAGATGCTAATCATAAACGTGGGTTTATTTATTACAGTTATTTAAATATATACTTATACATAGGTAAACTAATTGAACGAAATCTGTGTAAAATAGAAATTTTTAGATTCAATGACTCGGTCTGCTATCCCAATAACTGTACGACAGTTAGAAGCTATTATACGGATAAGTGAATCGTTGGCGAAAATGGAGCTACTCCCTTTTGCTGCAGAACGTCATGTGGATGAAGCACTTCGTCTCTTTCGAGTTTCTACTATCGAAGCAGTTGCATCTGGGAACTTGATTGGTATATTTCCATTTTAAATATTCACTATGATTTAAGAATTGATCGCTATTTCATAAATACTTATTTTACACATTGCTCGAAATTATCTATTCAAACTTAAAGCTACTTTTCGAACATCGTAATAAATTTCTCTCATTGGAAGCGTGACATTTTATCATCACTTATAGTTCTTTTATTCTTTCATATTTCTATGAAAGACAATTTTGAAATTTGCTAAAAATCACTTATGCTAGGCATCGAAGGTTTTACCAGCTCTGAAGACCAGGAATCATTTAGTCGTATTGAGCGTCAGCTAAAGAAACGATTTGCATTAGGAACACATGTCTCTGAGTATCTTATCGTCCAAGATTTTGTTCGACAGAATTATCCGGAAATGCTTGTCAAGAAGGTTCATTTATTTAACTACTGAATGTATATGACAAACTCATCTGTTACTAATAAGCCTAATGTACTGATCCAAACTGTTAAATAAACGAGTACTGCATCAGCAGTCTCTTTCATTAAATTCAGGCATACTTTTTTTTTTTTTTTTTTTTAATACATTTTTTCTTTTTTAAATATGCGATTATCAGTAGCTTATTATTTTCGGAAAATTGTTTATTCATCGTCAGTAATGATTTTTGGTGACAATTTTTGATTTTTCCCAAAAATTCAAAAAAGCTTAAAATTCTTCAGGTGATTCAATCATGCATTCGACGTGGTGAACTTCAGTATCGTATGCAGAGAAAAATGCTGTACCGTATTAAATGATCTATCATTTATTCCTTCCATGCCATTTTCTATTAAGTGGCAAATTTCAAAAAAGCAATGAAATTCTTTACGGAACCAATTTGATCTTGAAATTATTGCTTGCAAAAAACATATCTTGTTAGTATTTCATATTGTTATGTTTTTGAACACAAAACAGATTTTCCGTAAATGATATCTGTGATTTGCGATTGATAAATGATTAATACGGTAGATTGCTGCCATTCGTTACTGCCTGAAAAAAAATGAATATCTCTAGTGAAGTGAACTCAAATAAACCTAAGCCCTATAAAATTTTTGGTTTGTTGTGTGGCAATGAGTTGTAGCACTTACCTGAATTGTTGAAATCTGTTCCATTTTGCTATTTTTTCCAGTATTTTTGTGATTTACTACATTGATCTGAAGTTAAAGCTGATAAATTAAAGAATTTTTTTTAATGATCTGAAGTTAAAGTTGATAAAAATTAAAGAACAATAATTGCAAAACATAGATTGCTCTAATTTTCTACATAATTTTGTATAATGGTATGATTGAAATCCGAAAATTTTAAAGTGAATTGATAGTTTATCTTTTGTTAATTGATAGTTTATTTTCCTGTTATTGTGCTTTGTCTTTGTACTTACATGCGATGCAATATAGACACTCCAGAATACTGCACTCGATATATAAATTGTCATCATGAATAGTCTATTTGGTTGTACACCTATAGGATCAATAATAATGTAAAAGTAGTATGCTGTTACACCAATACATCGCAAAACTTCTTGGTATGGTGCATAGATTCTTAAAATTGTATTTGTATTAAGAAATTAAAATTTCAAATTCTAAATGCTTCTAAATGACAATTTATTAATGAAAAATAAAATAAAAAACTATCTTGCTTGCCTCTAATTGATTGATCTTTCTTCTATTTGATCTTTTCTTCATTTATGATCCATAGCCTTTATATAAATCGTAAGTTTGTTTTTACTCTTTTAGTATCAACTATCATTTCTATTTGTGATTGTTTTTCAAATTGCAAAATTTCTCTCTTTATATGGTGTTAGCCTAGTTGTTTCATTTTTTTTACCGATCAGGTTGACATTAGGAGAAGTAACGTGTCATTCGTAGTATACGTCGAAATAAGCATCTTTTGCGTTTATTTTGACGTGATCTGCTTTTTATCTAGCAGTAAAATAGGCTACGGTGACTACAACTACTGGTACATAAGATAACGAATCGGAACCGGAAATTTCAATTAGTCTAATATATAGCATTGCTATCATTTCCGATATCAATCAGATCATTTTCCGGGACAAGGATAAACTGAGAGAATTGCACAATAATGAAATTTTCTTCAATTTCATTGTTAAGCTTAATCCATCTATTTGGCTAAGCTATCAATAATTTGTATTATGCTACTGAAGTGACGTACGCGAATTGACATATAATACGTTGCTACCGTACGTTACGCTTTCAAAAAAAAAAAAAAGTTAGATTTAATGAAAGAATGATTTAATACAGAATCTCATAACTGTATGCCTTGCTAAAAAGATTTTTTTTTTTCTTTGTGTGTAAAGTGAAGAGTTATAATTTAAATATATAAAAAATAATAGTAACAAACTTGCGATCAAAAAATGCTCCCAAAGATTGTATGGTTATAATAAAGAATGCTAATTTCAGATTGAAATCAAGATGTGACAATTGATTGCGATCAATTTCAAAATGAAAAAATACAGCTAATAGTAGCATGAAATGTACCAAACAATATATCTTTTTCCAGTGCGAAATTTTTGGATTATAGCGAATTATTTCATTTTCAATCTAAATTATTTGATTTAGATTTGATCAAAGTAAAATTAGATTAGAAAATATTGAAAATTCATAGAGCTACCAATGATTTATTGTTCACTCGTTTATCATAAGTCAAGTTAAATGAAAAATTAAAAAAAAAAAAATGATGTTTTAGGAAATTGAAATGAATTAAATTCACCAATGGAATGCCTTCTTCATGATCAACCATTGTAAACCAATGAAAGTATCGTTTCACTTTCATTTTAGGCATATATATTGGTGGATAATAAATAGCTTTCAATTTTTCAATTCCTCGAAATATCCATTCGCCATTTTCTGTTTTCATTCTCCATTTGATAAATAGTAGATTATATAAGGTATGAAACTAGAAAATTTATTTCGATTTATTATTTGAGCGATCATTAAATAAGTTTTGTGCGATACCACCACCGAGTAGTGAAAAAGTTTCACGGAATAAGAACGTGATACATACCACCACCGAGTAGTGAAAAAGTTTCACGGACTAAGAACGTAATACCATTGAATAGTGAAAAAGTTTACAAAATTTACAAGTGTCATATTTAAGATTTTATGCAAAATATTATGAAGAAAAAAAAAAAAAACATAACTTTCAAAATTTTTTAAAAAATTTGGATTATAAAATTTTTTTGAAATTTTTAAATATTTCTAAGTTTATATTCCATTTACAAGCATAAGTTTATAATCACATTTCAATTCTATTTTAAAACATATTTTGAAATAATTTTAAAAATATACATGTAAAAGAAGACCTGAAGATAAATCTGATTGAATGTCATTTCTTGATTAATAATCCCGTAAACCGGTTTTTCAGATTGACGTTCCGGCTCAAATGTACCAAATATTTTATCCCATATGATGAATACAGCTGCATAATTACGATCAATGCAGTAAGGATTACGACCATGATGAACACGATGATGTGATGGCGTATTGAGGATAATTCCTAGCTTACCATAATTATCAAATAACTGCAATTATTATTCGATGTTTAAGAAGGTATTTAAATCTATTCAATTTCATTAATTACGCATATGAATTTTAATAGTTAAAAATTTATTTCGAATTTAATAATATACTCCTAAAATATTTTCATATAGTTCAAAATGTAGAATGTTTTTATGTTACGTTTGCTACGTTACGTCAATATGAAAAATGTACCTTCACAGATTAAAAAAAAGAACCAAAAAAGTGCACTATTATTTGTGAACCATTTGTTTTTCTTTAATTTTATTCATCATTTGTTTTTTTTTTTTTTAATAAATAAATTTTTTAATGATTAAATTTCTTTTGATTAATTATTTTTTTTTTTTTTTTTTTGATGAATCAAATTTTCATATGTTTTTTGTAAAAAGAAAAATTGTTTATTAATAAAAATTAAATTAAAAGTGAAACCAATACAGTGGTATGTAAGGTAAATTGATAAATTTCGCTGAAATATCGATGAACCAAAAATATTGATGGTGGAATGAAAAATGCTTGAAGAACATCATAAATAGCAAGTCCAATATCTGAAAGAAAAGAAAAAAAAAGTTTAGATAATTTTAATATTTATTGAAAAAATTTTAAGTTTTAAAATCAATAAAAAAAAAATTGTTTAATAAATATAAGTGATTAGTTTTACTTTAACATTGATGCATTTCTTGTTGTTTTTTTTGTTTTTGTTTAATTATTAACCTTGAATAGCAGCTTGTCGAAGAGCTGTTGTATAATTAAAATATTCCGAACTATGATGTATAACATGAAATCCCCAAAGAAATCCAATCTGTAGAAAAAGAAAAAACTTTGAAATAAAATTTAGAAAATATTATTTTAAATGCTAATATATAATAGTTTAAAAAAAATTAAAATGAATATAAATTGAAAAAATACATATCATGAATAGCACGATGTCCAAGATAATACATAAAATCCTGAAAAAATAAGCAAAAAATCCATGTTAACGGTGAGTTCCATGAATTTTCAATTAATCGAAAATTATTCCAAATATAATCATAAAGAAATATTGCAATTGTTCGACCACCAAATCTATCAAATTTAATGAAATTTTTTAAATAATTCTCATTATGAGTTGCTCTTTTTTTTTTTTTTTTTTTTTTTTTTTTGCTTCTGATACATATTTAATACATTATCAATTATTTCAATTAATTTATCTATTATCAGTTGCTATTTTAACACTAATTTGAATTTGATTTAATTTCAATTTTCAGGAAAACCACAACTTTGTTTTGTTTTTTTTAAATGATGAGTCTCTAAGAAATTATTCAATTTAACAAATATAAGTTTATTGAATTTAATTTTAAATCATTTGAAAGACTTAATCGATAATATCATTTAATATAATTAGCTTAAAATTAAATCTCGCAGCATCCACTTTATTAGAAAATGAAAATATTAGCATAATTATTTGAATATGAAATGAAATAATTTTTGTTTTTTCTCAAAAATTCTTCTATGCAGCTAAATTGAGATAAGTTTTCTATTCAGTTAGACTAAAAAGATAAGCTTTAACTTTCAAATTGACAATCAGCTTGTTTATTTCCAGCCTAAAATGTCCTTCAATAAATTGTAATCTTTTAATAATACTACTTTCATTAAATTTTATTCCTTTTGTAATTTTCAAAATAAAAATTTCAAATATATTATCAATTTAAATCAAATATGAATTCAAATTCTACAAATGTGCTACACTCTGATCTGTTTTTTTCTTCTTTTTTATGTAAAAAGAGATACTATCAAATTGAAATAATTAAGCAAAATATTTAAGTAATGTAAACAGAGAGAGAGAGAGAAATCCTTTTGATAAACTTTAGAATTAGAAATAGCAAATAATTTAAATAATGATTAAAATAATTAATGAAGTAATCATAATTAAAAAGCATTTCATCTCCAATTAATTACATTTCTTTATTGATTAATCCAATTTCTTTTTGTTTTCTTTTTTCTTTTTTTTTTTTTTTTTTTTTTTTAAAGAAATACGAGAGAAATTTTACTTGAAACACTGTGAGAGAATACCAGCAGAAATTGATGTAACAGAATCGTTGAGCGCAAATCGATTGACATTTCCGCTTAACCATAACAAACAAAATTCACATATGATAAATAATAACCACCAAAGACTAACCTATATATTTATAATAAGAACTTTTGTTTTTTTTCACTATCAAATTTGAAAATTTTTTTTAATAAAATGATTCATAAACACTGAATTAATTTTTTTTTTAATTATTACTGACCTATTTCAATACTTAATGATGCTAACGATACAAAATCTAAAATTTAATCTAGATAATCAATCAACATGGCTAATTTATTAAATAAGCTAATAAATTTGCTGATAAAATAAATATAATTAAGTAATCAAAAAAAAAATATCTCTGAAAATTTTCTAAGATTTTATTGTAAATGCAACAATAAAAATAATAATTATTTATATGAAGAAATTATGAAAATAATAATAAATCATTCATTGTTAGTATATACATATAAATGAAGCTATAATTTCTAATAAAAAAATATTTCAAATAAATTTATAACTAAATTAAAGTTTTGCTAACAATAATTGAATTAATAAAAAAAAAAAGAGGGAATAATTAAATGAAATTACCTGTAAAGTATAATTAGGTACTTCATCTACACTTTCAAACATTGTTTCATTTGGTGTAATTAAATAATATGTATATCGAAGATTATTTAAATTAATTTGATTAAGCATACGTTGACCCAATGAAGTATTCGTAAATATATCTTCCAATGATAACCATTTTTTTGTATTATTTCTTGATAGCATTGCTAATAATATTAGTAAATTAGCAATAAACTATATAGAATAGAATAATTAATTTTTTATAGTAAATTAAGAATAATTCTAAAATTCCTAAAATGCTTTAATTAAATTAATTTATTTTATTTGCTTAATATTAGCAATATTAATGATAACTAACAAATAGAATTTTTATTTAACTTAAATAAATCATTTATTCATTATTTTTTTTTTTTTTTTTATAAAGTTATTATATTTGCTATGTATATATGTAAATGTTTATTTGACGATTTATTGAACATTCGTTGCAACTGTGAAATTGTAGTAAATTAAGAATATGAAAAGAAATTCCTAAAATATTTTAATTAAAATAAAATTAAGAATGAGAAAAGAGAAATTGCCCCACTACAATTACTTAATTTGATGATAAATTACTTAATTGATTAATTAGTAATTATCATTCTAGAGATGATTTAAGCTATTCTATTCGGTTATTCAATTATCAATTATTTTTTTTTCAATTTTTTTATTTTCTCTACTAAGTTTGGTGACAATGTAAACATATGTAAAAGTATAATATTAATCACGGAATATTACATGAAATTGGTAAAATTAACAAAGTAAGAATGTTTGCTTTAATTAAAAGGAAATTTTGATTAGAATAAAAATTGAAGTGAATAAAATTTGAAAAAATTAAATCTAATGAAAGTGAAAAAGTAGAAAGTGGTAGAATTTTTTTTTCTTAATTTTATTTTAAATAAATAAGTATTAATTTTTGTTAATATTTCAATGGAAGCTAAAAATTTGACAAATATCAAAGAACAAAGAAGAAATAGCAAAAATTATGCATATATTTTGTATAATGAAAAACATCAAAATATAACATTCTTTGTTGTAAACGTTGATAGTTGACAATATGGCGTACGTTGTAAACATTGACAGTTGACAATATGACGTACGTTGTAAACATTGACAGTTGACAATATGACGTACGTTGTAAACATTGACAGTTGACAATATGACGTACGTTGTAAACATTGACAGTTGACAATATGACGTACGTTGTAAACATTGACAGTTGACAATATGACGTACGTTGTAAACATTGACAGTTGACAATATGACGTACGTTGTAAACATTGACAGTTGACAATATGACGTACGTTGTAAACATTGACAGTTGACAATATGACGTACGTTGTAAACATTGACAGTTGACAATATGACGTACGTTGTAAACATTGACAGTTGACAATATGACGTACGTTGTAAACATTGACAGTTGACAATATGACGTACGTTGTAAACATTGACAGTTGACAATATGACGTACGTTGTAAACATTGACAGTTGACAATATGACGTACGTTGTAAACATTGACAGTTGACAATATGACGTACTCTTTTTGCTAATATACAAAAAATAACAAAAATCATTCAATTAAAATAATTAGAAAACAAACAAATAATAATAAATTCTTGAATTCTATCATGACATAATATAATGTTTTTTTAAATTTTATAGCATAGTAAGTTTTTTTTTTAAAAAAAAAAAAGTATAAGCCAAAAAAAAATGTATATATATATATATATATATAATAAATAAATAAAAATGAAAATATAAATTAAAATTATTGAAGATAATTTACTCGAATATTCTCATTGTTATCCAGAGTGTGAAAATAAATTTTGTTAATGTTTGTATAAGATCAAATATCAAATTAGGTAATAATTACAATGTTTGTAAATAATAAACACCGATCTAAATTTTTCACATTTTATTCGTCAATTTGAGAGGGATATCTGTCAATTTTATTTCTCTCTCATCATCAATTCTCATATAAAATAAATGAATTTATTCAATCTCTTTTCATATTATCTTTTTCATTTACTTCTTTTATTTGCAAATAATAATTTAGGTCAAATTGATCTGTTTTCTCTTTTCAGCCAATCATTTTACAATCATCTATGCAAGTTTTAAAATGAAATAAAATTTATGAAATCATTCATCAACCGATAATTTCAGATTGATTTCACAGGTGCAATTTTATAAAATAGTGACATTGAATGTGATTATGTGAAATAAATGTAACAGTTTATTCATTTATTTGACCGAATTTTTATATTTGAAAAAATTTTCATACATATATATATCTTAGCTCTTTAATATATCTGAAAATTAAAAAAAAAAATTAAAAGCTAAGTGAACAAATGTTAATATGATTGATTGTACAAAAATTTTTCTTACTTAAATAATTTAGATAACTAAAAAATTCGAATGATATGTATTTCTTTTCATTACTTTCAACTTAATTAGACATTAAAAAAAAAAAAAAAAAAAAAAAAAACAAAGCAAAACAAAACAAAATTCTTGTCAAAATTTTTGTTTTCATATTATTATCATAAAATTTATGAAAAAATATCTCTCCGGATAATAATTATTAAAGTTAGACGATAAATGTTAAAATTTTTATAAAAAAAAATTCTACCATCATTCATTTCAAGTTGTATTCGCTGTATTTCATTTATCCCATTGAAGATAATAAATCATAGCTCATTTTCAAGAAACTCAATGTCAATGTCAATACGAAATGTCACTTCGTCAATTTAATTGTAAAATGATACCTTAATCTGTACTTTTACGCCCGTGGCGTAATTTCTATTATAAGTTTGACTTACTATTGTAAGTCTTGATATGCAATGAAGATATATGGTGAAAGATGTGTTCAGGTCAAGGTTGAAATGGTATTGTCACAATCAATGTAAATAATGGTCCATTCTTATGGAGACAAATTATCACCTGATCATTTACCTGATTGTTGATAATTATTCTGATTGATTTTTCTGCTACTTTAGAATATAAGTAATAGTGTTGTTTAACAAATTAAAATTTTATTCTGTGGAATTGAAACTATCAAATTTGATTCGATGTGTTATGTAAATATGAAGAATCCGAAATTGCAATTGTTTGGTGACATATTCTAATCCGCTGGTCATTTTATCATTTTATTGCTTATCATTGATGATAATCAATCTCATATTATACTTTAACTCATTAATTTAGTCTTTTTGTTATTTTTATGACTTCTCGAGAATGAGCATTTGTTCACATTGCTTTTTTTATAATTTTGTAAATTGTTGTCATTAAAAATTAAAAAATAAGCTTTGCAACTGAATCGATTGATTGAATCATTCAAGCGGCTTTGGCAAGTTTTTTTTTTTTTTACTTCCTATTTCTATCATAATTTTAGTTCTTCACTTTCATTTGTTCAGAGACTACCTAATTTATAATGTCAGAGATTCAAGGAAATGGCAGGTAACAGTATTTATGTGAAATTTAAAAAATTTAATGGCTCAGATGGATAGTTATGGCGATCGTTAAATGATACACAGGGAGAAGAAAAAGATAAGTGATAAATTTTTTTGATTGCTGAGTTTATCATATCATTTAATTAAGGGTTATGTAATATATTGATTTGTTTTCATTATGATGTAGCATTTTAAGGATTACAATTTTCTTTTTTTTTTTTGTTAATTTGATGATAAAAAGAAAATGTTTAATTATGTTTTTTGGAACATTTCAAAAAGGTGCAAGCGAGCTAATCATTTCAATGTAAAATATTTTTATGTCTTCTTTTTGTTTAATTCTAAACAAAACAAAATGTCGTATATCGATGTCTCATAGGTATTTGAAGTCAATGATTCAAAACTCTGTATACTTTCGGATGCTTCTTATCCTCTTAACAATGTCACTTTTACATTTCAAATTGAAAATTTACCTTGTCATCATTTTGTCCCCAACAGTCAATTAGTCATTTCATTAAATAATGCTTATAAACAGATGGTTGAAAAAATACTTCTTCAAATATTGAGGAATAAGGTATTCAAGTAATGTTATTGATATTTAATACATAAAGAAAAGTTTTCTCGAAATTTGAAAATAGTTTTTTTCGATGTTTTAAGATATCAGAAGTCTGTAAAGGACAAATGAAGAGAATTCGAATGATTTATTCATATCTAATAACTATTATTGATAGATTTTTATTAATAAACAAGTTATCAAAATAAAAAAAAAAAAAAAAACAAAAAATTAATTTTAATATTATTTATTATATTCAAATATAATCTTTTTTTAATATGATCTCGAGAGATACTAGTTAAAAGATTGCAGAAAGATTAATTTAATAATCATTCGTCATACTGTAACTCTTACAGTACTCACAATTCTATGATGTAGGAGGATACGATAGCAGCAGCAGCAGCAACAGTAGGAAAAAAAAAGCCGCCCAGATGAGAAGAGCTTAGAAAGAAGAAGCGAAAATGTTTTGTACCAGGTTGTACAGTTGTCACCTGTGTGCTGTCAAGAAATAGTGATGAGATCATCCGTCATCTCGCCTTCCTTGCACTTCCCGTTCCTCACTCATTTTTGATAAAGAATAGTCAAGGTTAGTGAATGAATCTAATCAAACTCAATTTCACTCTTATCAAATCATATTTACATAAATTATTTTCTTTTTTTTTTGGGGGGGTGGGAGGTAATGAAAACAAATGAATTCTTTCTGTTCTTTTTCCTAATGGATCATTTTATCAATTTATGTTAATGTGATTGAGAAGAAGCAGGTTGATAAGCCAGAACAGGTAATAGCTATATTTTTTGCTATCGAGATAAATCATCTTAATGTCTAGTTGATAGTGATACTGAATTTGCTAATACGATTAGATAATTAGCTCGAATGGAGCAAAGAGATCAGTCATGGATATTTATTATGATTAACCTTTTGCCATATCGATAATCTCATCATTTCTCGAAATAACTTTGAAATTCCCAACTGATATTTCTCTCTCTGTGTGTATGTGCGTGTATGTACGTGTATGTGTGTGTATGTGTATGTAATTACATGTAGTAGCGGTAATGATAGGTAGTTATGATGGTGATTGGTGAGAAGTGAACGCATATGATATATAATATTTTGTAGGAAGTAGTCCTTAAAGGTTGGAAGGAGCGGAAAGGGAGAGAGGATTGAAAG